ACAATAAAAATTATGATCTTCAGATGTCAAGAAGATGATGACATTGCTTGTGTAAGAAGAGTTTAGTGAAACGCCATAGGGAGATATGTAGAAACACAAGAGCAGGCAATGCTCTTGAGAGCTGTATGTACTGAAAGGACGGAAACTGAGCAGAGGGTGCCCTGTAGGTGTGCTGAGTCATCTGCCTTAGAATGTAACATGACTTACCGCGGACTGCTGCTGGGAAAGATCAGGGCTAGCTTGTGCATGATCAAGTGGCACATGATATGTCTGTGCTAGTACACCTTAGGTCCAAATAACACGTTTGTGAGAGAAGCCAGTATACACTTGGTCCCTGTACCAAAGGACTTTGAGAGTGCGATTAATTTAAAGGGAGTTGAATTTTAACTGAAAGCTGAAGAGTTTTCCTGTATGTCGTCATGTGTGAAACTTGATGCCAGTGGATATTGGGTACAAAGTGTTCTGCATTTTAAAAACATCTTATTCTCAAGGGTTGAATCTGCAAAGCATCCTAGCTACACATGGAAGGCTCTGGCCATCACAGACATACCGCAGCTTGGACCGGAGACTGTTAGCCCTCTGCGTTGTATTCAGGCAGAATAAGAATGTGAAGTGCTGTGCAGTTGTCCCGGTGGTTTATAGAAGGATTCTGTCTTTCTCTGAAGCACTGGCAGGATCCCAGAGGAGACAGGTCACTGATCTCATTACAGTGTGACATTTCCAGTCTGGGTTGAAGGATGGAATTTCAAGGATTTTTTTGGGGGGTGGGGGCGGGCCCAGATGAAGTGAGAAATTTTTTCAGGTTCTTCTAGCTGTGGTTAAAAGCAGCTTATGCAGGGCTAAGCAGCAAGAGGAGACTTGCATACAGGTATTTTACGTTTTCAAACTCAGAGATATTGAAATCTAGCTGTCTGGTGCCAATGTAGTATTCAGGGTCTCAGTCTTGGGGCATCTTCATTCTTAATTACAGCTTCTTGTCTTCCAGTTTATGTACTGTGGATGTGTCAGTTGAAATTTTTGGGTTTTGGGGTTTTGGCATATCTGTATTGTCCTCAAAGTAGTGTGTATGTGTGTACATAAGAAGTGTTGGAAGCTAACAGGGTGAAACAGCAAATTGAGAAGGTAGGTTAAAAATGGCATAATAATATTGGGGAGGGGGATTTTATTTAAATGGGATATGTCTTTTATAAATGTTTGCATTCTTCGCATTTTGCTCACCTCTGGCATAATACTGGAGAGAAACATTTTTTTTAAAAGTGTGTTGTACCACAAAAGTGTGAATATGCTTTTCCTACCTTATCTGTACAAGGAAGTGTTCTCCTTCTGTAGTGATGATGGTTCCAATAGCTGTCTGTGATAATGAAACTGTCTTTGTTTCTATTGTTTTATTGCAGTTTGTAATCTCTGTTTAAAGTAGCTCTTTGAAGTTAGAAAATATTTTGTTTCCAGGTATTTCCAAGGTCATAGCAAGTCACAAACCTTGCAAAAAGGCACACATCTTTCCCAGCTTCCCTTCTTATGTGTATACATCATCTGCATGCTTGGTGCCTGGGAGAGATTTATGTTGTACCTCAGTGCTTGATTCTGCTTCCTTGTCTGAAGATTGAAGATCCAGCAGGAAAACTGGATCATGTATGTGGAAAGCTGTGGTAGCAGCAGCAGTACTTGGTTTGGTGCCAGCCTGTGTGCATGCAGCTCGTGATCTGTCAGTCTCTGTGATGCAGTTCCAGTCTTACGTGCAACCGGAGGAATTCCGCAGTTCTGTGCTGATCTGCTTGGGAGATTTATTAGCAGAGCAGAGTTTGTACTTAAAACAACTATCCTTTTCTCCTGTGGGGAAAGGGTTGGCTGGATCAAGCCAGTTGGCCATCTGTTCCAGCAAGATAGACTGTGCTGAAATACAAGATTTCCTGACGTTTCTCCCAGCTGTATCTTCTATTCTGAGTGCTGTGGCCTTCCTCTGGCATTTAGGCCACAGTACATGTCCACAGGTGCTGCAGAGTCTGGTGAAATGAGGGGTAGGAGAGAAGTCCACCATGTATAAGGGGGAACTGTCACCCACCGGTGAAATGTGCCTCTCTGGTGATTGCATATTCACAGCTGGGGCTTGGGGTTTCCATTCACGTGTGATGTGCCCTTCTAGTCTGGCAGTTTGGTGCCAGGCTTGGGCTCATTAGGACCTTTGAGAGCTGTGCTGGTGTGTAAGCTTTGCTTCCATTGTTTTCTAGCCTTTTAGGACCTGCCTTGGTAAAGCGTCAGGGGTGCCACTAATTACTCCCTCCCTCTCCAGACTCCCCAAACTTCTCTTTCAACTGTTGAGACAGTAAATAAATATGACCTATTTCGTTACGCCAGTAGTCTGGACTGGTCAGAGGTACAGGTGGGAACAACATGTCTCTGTTTTTTTTTTTGTTGTTGTTGGGTTTTTGTTTGGTTTTGTTTGTTTGGTTGGTTTTGGTTGTGGGTTTTTTTTTTTTTAAAGTAGTGAACTCACGTTAAAATTGTGTTCAACTTCTTTTCTCCAGTGCAGAGCCTGGGAATGTGGAGTCTCCATGTCCACAATCACTTTCTAGTGTTGGTGGTACAGCTGCATATTAGCTTCTGGTTTTGATTTCCTCAGTAAGGAACAGCTTTTTTCCATAATGCTTGGTTAACAATCAGTGTTTGAAATAGACTGTTCAAATTGTTTCTGAATTGCAGATGAGTCTGGGAAATTGCTGGTAGATTTTAATACCAGTGGGTATAAAGGAAGCAATATGATTCAGCTCTTAAATTTTGAACCTGAAATGGTATTTCATAGCACAGCAATACATACACTCGTTTTATCAAGCTGTGTATTACACTTTGCAGAAAGATTTTTGTGGAGTTCCAAGATAATTTCTATTACAGACTTGGTTTACAAGGAATGATTCTGGCTAGAATACTCAATACCAGGATTTACTTTAAAGTATATTAAGGGAGGGGGGGGCTTGCAAATAAATTTCTTGTATGTTTTAGGAAGTTAGATCACTGAAGTAAATTATAAATGTTTTCATTTGGGTGTTGATGAGTTGATGATACAGTAGTAATAGGAATGATTTACCTGTCAGCTGACAAGATGAAAAAAATTGCTGGTTTGCTGTTCAAAAGGTCATCTCGGGGGAGCCCTGAACAAACTTGGCAGATCTTTGAGTTGTGCAATGGTGGTGTTTGGGTTAACCACATGCAATGCCTCTTTCTCAGTACCACCTTGTCTGGGTAATACTGATTTTTTTTTTTTTTATTGATTTCTTGTTGGCTGTTAAACAGTGATTGTGTGGCATTGTACATTGTCATTTGAAGGTAAGTCATTTTTTTTTTTCCATTAGCTTTAGAACCAAGCTGTAATGATTTGTTCATGAAATATGGCTAAAAGCTTAGCTAGTAACTCTTCATCGTTTGCCTTGGCAAAATGATGTTAACTGTGAACATTACACTAAACTCTGGAAAAAAAAGCCTGAGGTTTTTCAGAGTCTCTCTTTTAGCATTAGATTTTTGTTGCTGTCTTGAAGGTTTCAGAATCAAAGCATTTTAAGTTAGGACTTGTGCATTTCTTTCTTTGCCTTTACTTAGAATTGAGATTTAAATTTTAATTTTGAGGTTGTTGCTTATATAAGAACTTTCTGAACAGATATTAGCAAGGAAGTGCACACTCCTTGTATGAAACCGAAGCCAGTGGTGTGTGGAAAAGAAACTTACATGTCTGGGTTGTTTGGGTGTTTTGTTTTTGTGTTTCTGCTTGATATAGAAAAATATGTTTGGTAATAAATCTGTGTGACTTCTGCTGTTTTTTTGCTAACTTCACTGGTGATAAAGTAAGCCAGACATTAGAAACTTTTTATTATCAGTTTTCCTTTCGTTAACGATACTTTTCACATCACTTCATCTGTCTATTCTTTTATATTTCTCCTCATACAGAGAGTTCTGCTTTTATTTCCTTATTTTGTCCCAAATGGATATCTTACCTTCCATTTCCTTATAATTAGTAACATTTGATCCTCCTAGCAATTTCATGCAAAATTGCAAAGTAGTAAAGACCTTCCAGGCTCTCTATTGTAGGGTTTCAGTGTAATTTCTAAATGCACTAAAGATGTTACTTTCTCTGTCAATATAACCTCCAGGCAATGAATGGTGTAAATCAGGGTTAGAAAAGGGTCCTTGAGAAACAGTCATCACTCTTCCAGTCCCAGATGGCTTCCAGAAATTTTCTTCCTGCTCTTGAAGGATGGAGCTGCTTGGTGGGCAGACTGAGGGGAAGTTATCAATACTGAATTACAGCCAGTAATAGTTGTGATTCCCAGGGTAACTGAGATGTGCCCAGATAAATCCACGTGGTGCTGTGCAGCTCTATACAGATCAGCTTGTATGAAGGTGCTATAGTAGCAGTACATGGTATGCCCTAGCGATGTGCATGAGCTCTATTGTGTCTGTCTGACTGTACCCTGAGCCATTCATCCTTTTTTTTTCTTGAGGCTATGGCAGCTCATATGTTTCTGTGGAGTAATTGTGTGCCAATCTGGAGCACACTGAAATAGGAAGAAAGCTTGTTTATGATAGAGGGTTTGGATGAAGTCTTGTCTAAACAAAATTATTTAAAGCTCACAATGAATACTGTAAAAAATTGTTTTAGCGGAATAAGCACAACAGCCCTTCAAAAATTGTCTTTTTATTCAAATCTAGTTGATATTAATTGGCTCATTTGTAAAGAAAAAAGAGAACATAAAACCTAAAAGTTAATTATTCTTACAACTTCAATGAGATAGATAATTATCTTGATTTTCACTGGGGTTTTTAAGCTGCATAACAGCAGAAATGGTTTTAAGTGGCACTTTTCCAGTGCCAGAGACTAGCTGGAATTAAAGCAAGTCATGACTCAGTACTCAACATCAGAACTGCACTCTACAAGTGATATTTGCCTAGTGCAAAGGATTTTACATGCCTGTTCCAGTAAAGAATAACTTTCTGTTTCTGTTTTCTTCTAGGTTATGTTTCACACTATGTGCTGACTGTACTTACAGAAGATATTTAAAAACAAACAGACTTTTTCCAAGATTTTGATTCCAGTGGAATCTGTGCTTTAGATTTTTGTCTTGTCAATTAATTCCCGAAGCAATGCCTGTACAAGCTCCACAATGGACGGATTTTCTCTCCTGCCCGATTTGCACACAGACTTTCGATGAAACAATCCGGAAGCCCATCAGCTTGGGTTGCGGCCACACTGTCTGCAAGATGTGCCTCAACAAGCTCCACCGTAAGGCATGCCCTTTTGACCAGACCACTATCAATACAGACATTGAACTCCTTCCTGTGAACTCAGCCTTGCTGCAACTAGTGGGTGCTCAGGTATTGGTGCTTTTTTTTTTTTTTTTTTTTTTTTTTTTTTTTTTTTTTTTTTTTTTTTGGTGTTGTTTTCTTTCTTTCTCTAAGGAGGACAAGCTGTGAATAAAGAATACGACTCATTGTTAATGGTGTGTAGAGTAGACCTTTTTGTAGACTGACTTTGACGAATACAGGATTTAGACCTTTGACATGCTGTAGTAGAGGTGCCTGGAACAACAGTTCAAATCATGATAAACAGTCACTGACTGTGATTTTTGTGTTACTTCTAACTTAGTGTAACTGTGAGCTGTCACCAGAACAGGTTGGTTCTGTTACCATCTTTCTTCCTTTGCTCGTATCTTGCCATGCTCTGCCAAAACGTTGAACTGGATCAGTGAGCTTGCCCACTGAGAAGCTGCTGTTGTGTGGTAGGTTACTGCTTTACCATATTCACACTATGGACTTGTGATTGCTTGTCCCAAAATCAGGAGGGGAAAGTAAGGGATGTGGAATAGACCCCTCTGGTAGCAGCCTGTATGCTGCCTTCTGTCTAACTTGAAACCGTGCTCTGGAACTGTAACTTCCTGAGCTGACATGTTAATCTAAATCCATGTATGTGAATGGGGGGAGCCTGCCTGAGACTCCCCTTTATGCTGGAGCAGGTATTTGGGAGGTCAGCTGGACTGGTGCTCTGAAGAAGATGAATGCTCCAGCAGCGCTGCTACTGGTGGCAGCCTGAGGAAAGGGGCAGGGATGTATGGAAAGCAGGATTGCTCTGTTCAGTTGCAGCACAGGTTTAAATTGGCATAAGGTGCTTATGGTTAGATCACTGGTAATTTCCTGTGACCCACACTTCCCAGGGCTGAACAGGATTGTGGGCTTAGGGTGAGGAGGGAAAATTATGCTGAACTTATGAGTGAGGAACAAAAATGTAGACGAGATGCAGTTATCATAGAGGGGTTATTGTCTTCCTTAAATCTGCTTCCATATCTGGGCTCAGTGAAGTCGGAGTCAGCAGAAAATTCAATGAGACTTATAGTTCAGTGAAAGGGCAACTGTTATGTTTTAGAGGAACTTTAAAAGATGTGGAAGGAAAAAATATGTTCTGATGCTTTTTATTAGGTACTGGGACCTAAAGATCCAGACATGTTTTTGCCACTTTTTTTGTTTTGTTTATCAAGTAATACAGCTAATTTATTGTTGTTACATATTTGCGGTGTATGGCATAGAAGTTATATCAGAAGTTTTAAAATTGAGTTGTGCTTCTGGCTGGGCTAAGGGACTCATCCTGCCCTGCAGGAGAGGGCGATGAAGCTGTGTGCTCCCATTTCTGTGATATGAGTATGCCACCATCTTTGAAGAGCCTCCAAGCAGTGTGAAATCTGTGGGTGATGCCATAAATAAATGTCGTAATTCTCTTTCTCCCTTATATTTTCTTTCTTCCTCTCTGGAGTTTCTCTGATAGTTCCAGCTACGTGCAAATGTCAACACTTAGGATAAACATCTTTTGCATTTTTGGTTGCTTTGTGTGCATATGTTAAGCTTTGTGAGAAGCTGTGTGATGGCATTAACTTCATCTTTGCCTGAATTAAAATTTCCATAAAAATAAGATCCTCTGGAATGAGATGGAAAATCACCCTGCCTCTTTCAAGTGATTTAGGATTTTATTTTGGTTTTGCAAGTTAGCCAACCAGAGTCTCTTCATCCATACATATGTGAGGTATGAAGAAGGAAGAGTGGCTTTATGGTAGTATTGTATTTGCTTGAGTGTTCTGAACTCTAGATTCTGACTTTGAATTAATGACATAACTTTTGTGCTTCTTTTCATGTCTTAATTTTTTATGTGATCAAGATTCATAGGGCCTTGTTTCGTGGTGACCTTAAAGCTGCAAATACCACCAAAAGAGACAGTATTCCCTTTCCCTCGTTTGCCACTCATTCCTGCAACAAATGCTGCTTGCTGCATTCTGTTACCTAAACAACAATCCATGATTTTAGCTGGGTTTTTATTACTGACAAACTTCCTCCTTAAGAGAAATTTGCACCACCTCCCCCCAGCTCCTAATTTCAATGAGCATATGAATGAAATCAGTGTTCAGTATAACTCACCCTCCTTTCTCTTCCCTTTCCCTTCCTGGCACCTGTTGTAGTTTTTACCAGCCTTCGGAGTACTAGAAAATAAATACACTACTTTGCTGTGAAGGACTGGGAAACAGTTGCTATTTTTCATGAGACCCTCCAAGGCCTTATTTTTTTTAACCTTTTTACAGAAAAAATGCTTGGTTGAAGACCAAGAAAATGTAGAGGAACTACAGTAATTTTGAACTCTATTCTGTTAAGGAGGTGGACTCTTTGGTACACGCCAACAAAAATCATCTGCAAGCAGCAGGCCAATTTAGAAGGCATGAGAAGTATCATCAATTTAAGTGAAACAAAGCCCATTGTCTTGTTCTACTTCTTGGTTTAGTTTCAGGAGGGTGTATGTGTCATTAACATCCCCTAATCTCCACCAATCCCCTGTACACCTTAATGGATGTGTAACCATGGAGATGTGTCATACTTTATTTTTAAATGATAAATTTAAAAAAACCAAAAAACAAACAGGTTTCATTTTAGAAGGAAATACAGTACAACACAATTAAAGCTTTTGTATGGGGGGGCAAGAACAAACCGTTCTTTTCCCATTGGGGAGTCTTCTGAGAAGTTCACACATTTAGAAGTGTTAAGTGTTTTTTGCTGGAGGCAGAGGAGGAGACCAGGCAGTTTGAAGAAACAAATCTGTTCTGCTGTGACTGGCAACTGTGATGAGATTCCAGGGCAAGTCGCCTTGGTTGGCTTTCAAGCAGGCACAGTGGGTGAAATAAGCAGGACTGTACTTCTGGGAAAAATGTACTAAATTTATCACAGTCACCCGAGAGAGCAGTAACCTACTTCTCAAACAATAGCATTCTCTCTGTGTAGGTTTTGTCACTTTATGGTGAAAAGAATTGGTTTCTTCCTCGCATTACAGGCTGTTTCTCAGTCTTCCCTCTCCCTACCCCTTTCCAAAAAAGGAAACCTGTTGCCCAGGTTATAGCCACCCTTGATGTGAAAATTAACTTGTTGCAGAGACTCGAATTCGTGCTCCCACAGTGCAGTGTGGTACATGTCAACAGTGGTTACAGGTCTGTTCTGGAAGGTGGTGGTTGGGAAATCAACCCCACATATAGTTAAGTTCAGCTGCATAAGATGATGGCGGGGAGGAGGAGGGATTGTAAGGGTAAGGTGAGAATTATTATTGCTGTGAGAGCTGGAAATAGCTCAGTGCCTAAGCAGGAGCTAAGCGTGTTGTGAGGGGAGGGAGGCACAGTGGCCTTGAACTTAAATCAGAAAGGCATTCATGGAATACCTTGCTTTTCAGACTTCTTGGGTAAAGAAATCCCTTAAGTCAGTTTCTGTGGGAATAAGGTTTTTAATTTTAACTATTCAAGCACCCAGATATTAATCACTATATGCAACTATTTTAAACATTCACCAGGCTAGTGTTTTGAGAGTGCATTATCATGGATCTGTCATCTAAGTGCTTCCCTTCTGTTTTCTTAACACATGAAACAGCAGTGTGCACGTTCCAAACAGGTGACATCAAGTGGCAGAAATTCCTGTGGTGCTTTAATTTCTTTCCTAGTCTCCTGCTGGACATGATAAATACAATACTAGACATTAGGCAATGGAATTGGTATATGACAAGAGCATGAGTGGAGTAGTCTTAACTCGCAGCCCTTTCAAAAGGGGAAGATTACAACTGCAGAGATACTAGTGGCACATCTGATCGTTTTTTTGTTGTAACTTTTGGTGAAATGAGGTGCCACAAAAGAATTATCTGTGAAGAAGTTGCTCTCAGTGCAAACTCTTGAGGAACTGAAGACAGTAGGCTTTGGGGTTTTTTTTGTGTTTTGTGGGTTTGGGTTTTTTTTTTGTCAGGAAGCAAATAATCTGTTTGCAGGGAGGGGGGAAATGGGGGAAACAGTTTTCAGACCAGAAAAAAAGGAGTTTGGTCTGTTTAACATGTTCTCATTCTGTGCAATTAGATGTCTAATGGTAATTAGTGACAACTCAAGCTGACCTCCTTCATCAAATTATGCTTAAATCACCAATTCAGAATCACTGCCTGGTATGAAATGATGTGTTAGTGTTCTTTTCCGGTCCCCTTCCTCATGCCGTCATAACCTGCCTCTTCCCACAGCCACAAGTAGTCATGCTGATGGGCGGCATTCCACTGCTGGGATACTTGCGGTCATTGCCAAGGCAGATGCACACAAAATGATCACAAAGTAATTACACATCTGAGATTATTTTTCCTGTCTTGTTCTAGTCCCCCGTGGGAGGTGTTTATTATATTATGTAAATATATTTGCAGTGAAAACTATGATAAGGGTGTGGTGTTTGAGAGAATAGACTATTGAATGAGGATGAAAATAATGAACTCACTCTTCAGGGCATCTATTTTAAGGCTCACAAGAGGCGTTGTAAACAGTAGTGACCACAGGGTCCCGCATGCTGTTGAAAGATACTTTGTGAAGGGGAAGTGAAAATGTGTTGGAGATGAATTATTTCTCATTTGTCCCTCAGCACTTCCATGACAGAGCCAAAATTAAAATTCAGATCTCCTGTGACTTCTATAAATCACGTCTTTACCATTTTTCTCTTGGTAGATGCTGTTCTTACAGTCATTCTAACCCTAAAATACTAAAGTCCTGGAAATGCATGTAACAGAACCAGCAAAAGTGAAAATTATTTGTTTTACTGTAAGATGCATCATATGAGTGAAGATATAAGTGTGTGTGTGTAGAAATACATTCTATTTTCCTGAAGACTCCTGAAACCACAAGATAAGCATCTTGTTTTGTTGTGCTGTACTACACTTGCACCAGTTTAAGATGGAAGTTAATCTCTTTTGGGCTCATTTTTGCAAACAGTATGGTTGTGCAAGGCTTATAGATTTTTACACTGAAGCTTCCCTTGCAAAGAGAAGAAATGGGAATGATATGCAGAATCACAGTGTTGAATAGCTTGATTAACTCTTGGTTAACTCATTAACTTTTTCTATGCCAGCTTTTTCCTGGGGGAGGGGGAAGCTGTTAGTTAGTTGCCTAGACAGTCCTTGTGTCTCGCTGGTGGGGTTGTGCTGTGTATGGCATTCCAAACCGCTGCTGTTAATGTGTGCTAAACCTGCCTTAATTCAAGATCGAAATGCAGGACTGAACACAGCTTCCTGCCACCCATCTGTTCCAAGACCTCTTTGTCTGCTGTAGTTGTATTTCAGGTTGTCACCAGTGCCAGATTGAATGCTTGCAGGAGTAAATAGAAATTTGCACAAAATGCATTACAGCAGTATATAGGGCAGAGACTGTAGTTTTTTCTCTGCACAAATGCATGAGGTGTGTGTGTGGTTTGATCAATTAGCCAGTTCTTCTTGTGTAACTTCCCAGACAGACTGCTAAAATGGCAGTGGCTTTGCAAAGGAGGTGGTGTGTTTTGTAAACATGAAAGCAAATATTGAAGGTGTTGTTTCCTGGATCCCAAGAAATGAATCTGTCTGGAGGCTGTTGCAACAGTTAAGGATGACCACTGTAAGATACAGTTGCAAAATCTCCTTTTACTGAAAGCTTTCTTGCTTACACACAAAAAAAACCCCAAACCACAACACCCAAAAAGCAAACCACCCCAACCAAACAACACCCCATCCCCAGAATTCAAACAAAACCAAAAAAACCTCCAAAACTTAACTACAGTCTCTGAAAAGCATCCAGCCTAACCTTGCTGTTTTGGTGTGATTAAACTTGGTTTTGTTTTTCCCTTTAATAGGAGTAAAAGGGGCAGTGTCGGATCCAGGCTAACTTGATTATATTATTTTTGGGGTGGTGTTACCCCTCTTAATTTCAGCTCATATATTACACTCAAGAGACTCTTTTTTTGTTGCCTGGTGTAAGAGTTATGCAGCTAGTAACTTTTTATTTTGCACTGTTTGTCAAATGAGCAACTTAGTATGCATAGTTGTTTAAACCTATAGAAGTGTGATCATATGATTGAAATGGTTTCATTACTATTAAAAGTAATAGGAAAGCTGTTCATATTGGTGGTGGCAACCATATATATGTATGTGTGTGTGTATTTTATGTATATTTACTCTTTTTATTTGCTGCTCCCATCATAATGCCGCTCTCCATGACTGGGTTGCACGTGAAGGTTAGTGGGTTTGTAGCTGGCTTTAACTTGAGCATTAAAGGCTTGTGCTTCTAGACTGAGGGCCTGGGTTGGTCCCTGTAAGCAGCTATGTGGGATTAGCATGTTGTTATTGCCAGTGGGATAGTGATTGATTTGGAAATAGAAGTTAAAGTCTGAGATCTTTTTACACTTCAATAGCATATGCAAAAAGTGCTTCTGTTCAGTCTTCTGAGAAATTCTAGTTCTCTATACTATCAAATATTGAGCTGATTGCTGAATAGTGATGTTGAGAAACATTAATAGAGTGCTACGCTGCATGCCCAGATTTGTTTAAAGCTGTAAGAATTTAACTGGAAGAAAACAAAAGCAAAATTATAACTTCAGGGAGGGGTGGTCCAACATTCCTTTGAAAAATCCTCATTTCTGGTGAATGCGTCAATGAAGAAATAAATGCCACAACTGAAAAAAAGAAACCCACCAAAACAAACAAAAAACCTCAAGAATGTAACTGGCCTGTGTTGTCAGGTTAATACTTGCAGGTTGTGTTAATATTCACTGTGTAGGATAACTTGATCTTGCTGCTTGATAATTAGGTCTAATCAGAGTATGTTTCAAGGGTGTCCTGGCATATTTGCTGCTAGGTTTTACTCCTATTAATCCAAGTAGCTCCGATCACTTATCCTGGGATTATTTAAGAGCTGTGAGGCCCTAGATATGAATCTGTATTTAGCTACAAACCATGGTTTGTCTGATTTGTTCTGTTGTTTTAGTTGTTGGGTTTTTTTTGGTGGGGGAGTGTTGGCCCAGGAATCTTTGGAGATGTCTCAATATGTGTGTTATTTTAGCCAAAGTTTTATAGTTATAAGAAATGCCTTTTTTCTCGTGTAATTTTTTTTTTTTTGTCATGGAATAAGTCTTCTGCTTCTAGTTCCTGTCAGCCAGTAAATAAAGTCTGCCAACCATAAATTCTTTACGTATTTTGTCTTAATTTTTGCTGTTTTTTTTTTTAAGATGCTATTTGTTCATTTCACAAGCTGAAAAAATGCTTACTAATATAGAAAAAACACAGAGGGGGAACAAAACAGGAAATGCTTGATATTAACAAGCTGGATGTGGTGTTTGTAAGTGACTGCCACTTATTTATGCATATTCTTCATAGATCTATATGTTGTCTCCTTCCAGGTTCCTGAGCAGCAGCCAATTACTTTATGTAGTGGAGCTGAAGATACCAAGCATTATGAGGAGGGCAAAAAATGTGTGGAAGAATTAGCATTGTACCTCAAACCACTCAGCAGTGCAAGAGGTAGTTTGTGCATTGTTTCCTTTGAAAATGAAAGCTGGGAACAAATAAGATGCAAACCAAACTATCCAAATGATTAGGTAGTCTTGTTTGAAAAATGTATATGAATCTAGTTTAAAAACAAATTTAAACAAATTTCCTAAGCATTAAGGCTATGTCTTCATGGTATGTGGGGGGAGAGGGTGGGTGGTGAAGACATTATGTCAAAAAAAATACTGGGTAAAGGCCATGGTATAGTAAGTTGAGACAAACTTTGTAAGTTGAGTTGACCTCTGCAGACTAAGTTAAAATAGATAATTCTGCTTTTTTTAATTTGAGTTCTGCTTTGCTTTGAGATAACTGTAGTAATGCAGCCTGTTTGTAGAAACTGAGAAAGTTACTGCATATAGGATATATAAGAGAAATAATTAATACTTTGTTTATACAAGAGTTGGGTCAATTTGAGTAATTCTAACTTAGGAAAACTTCACTGGGTTCAAGAGTATGGATTTTATCTATGTTATATATGGTGGACTTGGAATATCTGTCGACCCAAGTAGTAGAGGTGAGCATCATGGGCATCAGGTTTTCAGAACTGAATTAGAAAAAGCTGTCTCAAGCTTGTCCAGCTAGTACAGTGTGGTAGCAGTAGTGGCCCAGTGAACAAGTCCTGTGCTGTGGAATGCACTCAGTGTTGCAGCCATATGCTTAGCGCGTCATTTCTTCCTTCAATCTGGTTTCAGTGTCTCTCAGCACATTTGTAAATCTCAGCATTTGCACATAGTTAAACATCACCCAAACACTTTTGAGCTCATGCAAGTTCAGTTTGGCTAGGCCAAAGCAGTGAAGATAGCAGATACAGATAAAAAACCTAAATATCTTGTAAAAACAGGCAAATGTCAAAGGCGACAGTGATCTCTGAAGCCCATGAGTAAGGGAAGGACTGCAGTATGATCCTACCCTTGAGGAAACACCTGGGAAATACATTTGGGAGGGTGCAGGACAGACTTCCAACATGGGGAATTCATTAGAGATTCTACCTTCTTAGGGAGCCAAATCAGTCAGTCAAAGACTTAAACCTGTGGGAAAGCTGGCTCCCAGTAGCTGTTGGCTTTTAAGGCTGAGTAAAACTGACAAAAATTAACTTCTGAGATGCCTTCTCTAGTGATCTCTCTAACAAAGTGGACATCAGGTGAACTAGGTTTGCACTTCCACAGTACAGTGGTTGAAGGCTGACATAAGAAAAGGAGTTATGATGTAGTTTATTTTCTTTTTCTGCTTCATTTTGTTTTGAAGGTGTGGGTCTTAACAGTACTACTCAGAGCGTGCTAAGTCGTCCCATGCAAAGGAAACTTGTGACATTAGTTCATTGCCAGCTAGTGGAAGAAGAAGGGCGGATCAGAGCCATGCGTGCAGCACGGTCACTTGGTGAAAGAACCGTCACAGAGCTCATTCTTCAGCATCAAAATCCTCAGCAGCTCTCTTCGAACCTCTGGGCTGCAGTGAGAGCCAGAGGGTGCCAGTTCCTTGGACCAGGTAGGTAACACCACAGTGCTACTTCTATACTGGAAGCAATTCATAATTGAGGAGGGTGGATAAAGGGGTGTCAGATACCTGAGTGGTTTTGTTAGGCAGTGGTTTAATTCCTTGATAGTTGATCTTCAGAATTAACGATTTATCTGTTGGGCTGCTACATGGACTTTCTTGTGCTTCTAGTGCTTTTACAAGTCTTTTATAAAATTCAGGATCATGTGTGTCCTTTTGTTCTTGTGATAAGATATTATGGGAGGTAGTTTCTCAGTTGCTATTCTTTGAAGAAGACCCTTCTAGAAAAAAAAAACATTACTGGAAGTGACTGGACATGGCTTCTTTTCCTCCTCTAGGGTAATAAACATACAAAATAGTTGTGGGGAGAGATTTGTTACATTGGGGGGGTGGTGTGGTGTTTGTGTGTGTATGCATTTTTGGAAAGTTACATATTTAGAAATTGAATACCTTTTCATATAATGCTAAAAGAATCAGTTTTGCTTAAAAAAAAATGTGTGAAGCCTTGCTACTGAAAATATAGTCGTCGTTTGGTGAGGAACAAAAATAATGTCTTGAAATATGAAGCCAGTTTCTTAAATAAAAGAAGCTTTTCCCCACTGAAACATGAAGGAAGACTAACTTTGGGATGCTGACTTTTGCACCACTGCAGGGAAGAGAGAGGCTTGTCACATAGCAAAATATTGGTGCTACAGCACCTACTTTATTTGTGTGGGCACTAGTTGTTGTTTACCTGCATGGGATCCAACCTTGCTCTTCCTCAGCCTGGTAACTTTTTCTGCTGGGATAGGTGTGGGATGTAGATAATACACTTTGAAAGCTCTTATATTAATAATCAAGGGAGATGTATAGACAGGAATGAAGAAGTCTTCCTGTCATCTGATACCCAAAATAGAACATACAATAAAAATTAACAAGTCCTATTTTCCCCAGTCCCAGTCTGGGAATCTGGAAGTGTTCCTTTCTTCTTTGCCCTCCCTTCTTGCTCAGCTCCCTTTCCTGTCTGGGTTTGTGTGTTGTTTGGGGTTGGGTCTTCTAGCTGGTCTGCCAGTTGTACAGAAACAAAGTGCAGAAATCTTTCCTGGTCTTCTCTCATCCTTTGTGTCTTTTCTTCACATTTCCCCCCCAGCAATGCAAGAGGAGGCTTTAAAGCTGGTTCTACTGGCTCTGGAAGATGGATCTGCTTTGTCACGGAAGGTCTTAGTTCTCTTTGTGGTTCAGAGGCTGGAGCCGAGATTTCCTCAGGCTTCTAAAACTAGCATTGGACATGTTGTCCAGCTTCTTTACAGAGCGTCGTGCTTCAAGGTAGGAAGAATCTGCTTGGAGATCTCATAATGCCATGAAAACTACTGGTTTTCACTTTCAATTTTCATTGACCTGTAACATTAAATGTGCCTAAAAATATGTGTAGCTATAAAGAGTATTATTTATTAAGTCCCATGTGTGTTTGGAGTGTTCTTTGTCGTACCGCTATGATGGCAGTGTAGGCTGAAATTACAATTTTAAGCTGTAAAACTAGGTTTTGACCCTGTCCAGGTTTAATAGATGCACAGTAACAAAACTTGTATGTAAGTCAGCATAATTTATCCCCTTAGAAGAGGCTTAAAGCTGGGAAGTCCCCACTTCTGTTAACTTAGTGGTGGTGTGATTAGAAACAAAAAAGTAGGAGACTCTGGGAGAGTCCTAGAAAGAGAACTTAAACTTCTTATTGTACTTCACAGTATTTAATGGTCCATTCCTAGGTGCTCAATTTAAATGTCAGTCAGTTTCCCTAAATGAGAAAAATGCTTTGTTGCTCCTAATTGTACCCTCAAACAAAATTCTGCAATTCAAACAAAATACCTTGATTGGAGAAGTGTGGATGCTGTAAAGTTGTTTAGGAAGTGTGAACTTTTCCATCAATATCTCAGTCAGAGTCGGAGCAAATTATGTTTGGTATCCATTTCATAGAGGTTCCACTTCATGAATAGTGTGTTATTTAGTAGGAACTAGTGTTCACTGCATAATGTCATACTTTAGTTTAGTCTGGGAGGAAGAACTTAGTTGCTGACTGAAGATTTTGCTTGCCTTGGATTTTACATAATCTGTTTTATTCTGCTTAATTGTATTTGGCTCGTTTCTCCCCCCTAGGTGACAAAGCGAGATGAGGATTCCTCCCTGATGCAACTGAAGGAGGAGTTTCGGACTTATGAAGCTCTGAGAAGGGAACATGATTCCCAGATAGTTCAAATAGCTATGGAAGCAGGTTTACGCATTGCACCAGATCAGTGGTCCTCACTGTTATATGGCGACCAGTCTCACAAATCCCACATGCAGTCTATCATTGACAAGGTAAAGCCACCTAAAATCAGCCCAGTCTATCTTGTTTGCAACTGTCATATCCATGTTACAGGCATTTAAAAACTGTGCCCATGTGTACTTGCCTTATACATTAATAATGCCTTGTTATTTCCCAACCCTTTATGGTCTAAATGATTAGAATATTTATTTGTAACCTAATGAATCTTGCTCCCTGTGCTATCTCTTTCTACTTTAGCTCTTTCTGCAGATGGGAAGCCACAAAGGTTAGCTACGCAACTGGCATGTGTCCTTTCTGAACCGCTGATAACTGCCAGTGGAGTAACAGAGGTTAATGGTTAGTGTTTCCAGGCAGGAAGTTAGGACATAAGTTGAAAGAAAATCAGTCCCCTAGTCTATACCTGAAGTAAGTGAGGTGGAAACACGTTTCTTAAATAAAATTTCTTGGTCCCAGATCTCTTTTTGTTTAGAGCAAACATAGGATAAATGGGCTTTCGAATTAGGGTACTCCTGTGTAAGTACCTAAATTAGGTGGGAAGAACTGAACCTTGTTGAATGGTTAGAAAAGGTGTGAAACAAATGCTCTGGCTGCAGTGCAGGAGGATTAGCTTCAAGATCAGTCTGTTTTGAATTTATGCTTATGCCCACTTTTTCAGGTGTCCTACCAGACATCTTCTGAAGGATTTAGGTGGAATGAAATAATTTTAAATACTGAAATCGTGTGATGATAATAAATGGAAAGTTGCTAGCTATATTTGTCCTTCGACCATCTTGCTTATTATTGTCTGCTGTACTCAGTTTAAAGCAGGATACAAACCTGTTGGTTTGGGGATTGGAGATATTAGACTCTTAGGAAATCTGAATTAAGTGGTTTCTGTATTATGTAGCTTTTTTCTGGGTGTCAGCACAACATAAAAAATAACTAGGTTACATTGCTAGAAATAATACCAGCCTTTGTCTATTCAGAGCTGCATTTTAATATGCAATGTTATAGATTTGTGTGTTCTTGATGCTGGAGAAGGAATTTTAATACAAGGTGCTGACTGAAATGGGCTTGTGTGAAAAACATTTTACTCCAGTTCTGGAAGACAGCTTTTGTGGGCTTGTGGAGCAACCTTCAGAAACCTTGAGGATTGCTTTGCCTGTAGGAAGTTAATTACTACTATTTTTTTTAAGTTGCAGACCCCAGCCTCGTTTGCACAGAGTGTTCAGGAATTAACTATTGCTCTTCAGAGGACTGGAGATCCAGCTAACCTGAATCGTCTTCGACCTCACCTAGAGCTCCTGGCAAATATTGATCCTAGTCCAGGTAAGTCTAGATGTTTTATAAGAACCTTTAACTTGCAGTTTACCAAGAGGATCTTAACACTTCTGAAGGATTGAAAGCTGTTGAATCTAACATCCTCTAACTCATAAACTTAAGATTCTTGAGCGGTATTCATAACTGGCCTGTGAACAGCAGTAATCTGTGAGGAACTGGACTATTCTGAAGCGAAAATAGATTGAAAAGCTTGGCAGGAATAATTTCACCACTTCTTTGAAGAGGGCTTTCTTGTTTGACAGCACTGGATGAGCATGGATGAGGATGTTGAATACTTATAATCCTGTGAGGTTACATGGTGTATACTTGATACTGGGGAAGTGGCAGGAGTCTTAGCTTCCTCCTTTTCCCTTTTTTAGTACACATGCTTCTACTTGAAACCAGATTTGCAAAGCAACAGGAAGATTTACAGAACCACTATGCTTAATGCAGAGCCTTAACTGTCACTCTGGGATATCTTTTTCTCTCCAGTTCTTTACCAGAGCAAATAATTTGTTTACTATCTAGGGGAGGTCTTCAAGAAAACACATACCAGGTTGAGGACTTCACTTATCTAAAAAACGTTTACCTTTTTCTTTTGTTCAAGAAAGTCTGTGTATTAGTTTTTGATCTGAGTTCTGTAGCCTGCAGACATTGTGCTCAGAAGACTTTCTAGAGGCAGCTTAAAATCATAAGGCATCTTTTGTGTAAACAGTTTTGGATTTCATGGTATAATTTTGAGAGCACAAAGAGAAGCTGGGCAAAAATCAGCCTAGACCGCAAGAGATTTGCTATCCTAGGGAATGTAGTATTTTTCTTCTTAATATGTAATTCTGCAAAGGTATGAAAGATGGTCTAGGAAGGGGAAGTTAGTTGGAAGGAATATATATAATTGGGAAATCTAAGCCATTGACAGAGAGAAAGATGGAAATTGTTGGAAAAGTCAGCAGCACTGTGAGGACAGACTGCCTGAGACAGAAGGAAGGGGACAGAATGGAGAGTGCTGTGGCTGCGGTTTTGTTTTATACCATTAGTATTTGTAAAATCAATATTAATATCAAAATAGTATGAAGGTTCAAACTATGACTTCAGGAAATGAAAAGCTGTAGTTCTTAGTTTCTGTTTGTTCAAACTTACTTACTTTTCAAATGAGGACCAGTTGTACTTTACAGTTAAAGGAGGTATAGTGTTCTCTTCCCAAATCTTTCATACTGTAACAAGTCTGGCAAAACTGTGTGCGTACTGTAAATTTGTTATCCACAGACTGATACAGAAAGTGGAATCACTAATAGCCTCACTCAGTTTTAGTAGGTGAGTCTGATCTTGATGTTTCTCTTCTGTGCTGTTGAATTGCTTCCCTGCTGTTCTACAGATATGCTGAAGTTCTCTGGAAGAATTTAGTCCTTGTGAGCAGACTAGAATGTACTTGTGCTAAAGATCTGGAAAGGTGCTTTGAGGTCCTGTGTCTTGCAGCAGAGTATGTAGGTGCACAATAGGAGTGTCATCTGCTAGAACAGATTAGAAAAGTAAATTAGCTGGAAAGAACAAGTGCCCTTATAGAATTAAGACTGCGCAGTTTATTCACACTACTGCATGTTAGATGGTGGTCTAATACATAGATTTGCCTTCTGTCGTTTTCCCATGTGAGGCACATCAATTTCTGTTGCTATTCAGTGACTGTGCCTGCGTGATCTAGGCCAGTGATGATGATATTTGTACAGAATCATTTTATCTACAGGAGTCTGAGTGTGAAGAGGGATTTTCAGTCTGATTTTTTTTTTTTTTTTAAATGTGCAGAGTTTGTGCATTTACTCTGGAGTTCTTACGGGATATGAAAGTTTTGCTAAAAGGAAATAATTTGACATGCTAATCATACTCTTGCTTGTTCATTTTGTATTTTGTGTGGTTCAATCTTGAGCCTATAGGTAGCTTTATTCTTTAAGTGGTACATATCCCCGAATTAAGATGCTGAACACTTTGGAAATGTGTCATTAGATAAAATATTTCTGGTTGTCTGGTGAGCATTGTGATACTGATGGCTTCTTTGTAACTGGTTTTGGAAAATCCTCTGACTTTGCTTTGTCTTACTATATTCTCTGTTTGCTATCAATGCAATAGATGCTCCACCTCCAACATGGGAACAACTGGAAAATGGACTAGTTGCTGTGAGGACTGTGGTTCATGGCTTAGTTGATTACATCCAGAATCACAGCAAAAAAGGAGCAGATCAACAACAGGTAAAAGCTAAATCCTTTAGGAAGTGTTTACCCCTAAATTGTATTGGCATTATCCAATAGTAGAGGTTTACTAATGTCATATGGAGAGATTTGGTTTGAGGAACAGCTGATTAAAAATATCACTGCTGTGTCATATTTATCAAAAAAGAAACAAAAAAGGAAAAAGAATAAAACCCACAAACACAAAGCCACACACACCCATTACCTGTTGCAATAATTTGCACAGCTCACTAGGATAAAAAGAAAACAGTCTGATGCAGCTGCAAGCTTAGAGAAATGAATAAAACATCCTCCTGACTTTAGAGGGTGAGGAAGAGAAACCGGAGTGCCTAGCACTGTGGTCTGTGGGAATTTTCTTGGGTTTGTTTTAATGTGACACAGTTCAGCCAGATGGCTCAGTGTTAATGAAATTAATCTTATACCTGTGCTTTAATGTTCTGTAAAGTTTAAAGATTTGGGAAGACTTCATGTAAAGGTACCATTCAAGTACCTGAAACAAAACTTTGTTTCAGAAATAAAATGATGTTGCAAATATATATAGTAGCTTATCTCATAGTTATCACATGTTCCTTTGATCTCATTTGGTTGTATAGCTAATTTGATATAAATGCTAGCTGCTGCTGAAAGACAGAGCTGTCCGTCACACATTCCCACTCCCTCCGTTGATTTGGCACTCATCCTCTTGGAGAGCTGGTTTGGGGAGCTGAACTAGTAGAAAGGTTATCTCTGCCAAAAAAAAAAAAAAGGAAAATTAGAGTGAATTATTTCTGCTGTTTTATCTTTTTACATTCACCGGGATGCCTAATGAGCACCATTATCAGCAAAAGGAGGAGCAGTAGGAATGCACAAGTGAAAATCGGGGTGGGAAAAACAGTAATGATTTTTGTTCTGGTGAGACCATCGCTTAGACTTGGTACATGCTGTGTGGCTTGGAAAGGAACCCAAAGCCTCCCAAGTGGGAAAGGGGACATCTGCTGAGCATTGGGTGGAATTTTGCTGGCTGGCAGCAGTGGCCAGCAGAAGGCTGTGCAGCTTATGTACACTCTGCTGAAACCCTTTTTTCACTACAGTAGATGGCAAAAAAAAGTCAATTTGCAGATGGCTTCTTACAGATTTACGTCTTTTGGCTGTTTCTCAGAAAGCAAGAGTTTACTTTTACAGACCTTTCCCTCAGTAGGAACTCTGATAAAATATTTCTGCCTCTGATTTAAATCTGCCATAAAAACTGTGGGAACTTAAATGTCTGAGACCACCTCTGGCCTTCTGTCAGAATTTATTTCAAGAGACTGCCAAACAGGCATACATGCCAATGGCAAGATTGCAGTAAGCTTATTATTTCTTGGGAAACTTAAAGATATAGAAGACAACCTGTACCCTACTGATCTGTGTAGGAATAGGATTGCATCCTTAATATTGATGGAAATAATAATCATTTTATATATAAGAGATTTTCAGTCCAAAGGGGAGCTAAAAGCAACTTGATGAAATTTCACTCTCTTGGAGAGTGAAGGGATACTCAAGTGCCATTTTGAGCCAATAGAAAACAAGGGAAAAGTAACTGTCTAAATTGTATTTGTTTTCCATCTACCACAAAGCTGGATGAATATTTGGCAATTTCTGGTTAAGCATGGCAACTTTTTTCAGCCTATAACAGTTTTGTCCACTGAATTGTTTCCTGAAAGACACCTGTGTTCCAATCAAGCTCCAGTAGGAATTGGAATAAAAATATTTTAAAAATCTGATAGTAGCTTAGTTGTCAAAATATCTGCTCTTGAATCTGTTAGATCTGTTGAAGAAACAAACACTGCTCCAGTCACTTATTCCACCTTAGGTACTTCTGGAACGTTTAAATTGAAGGAATTATCAACAGTCAACTATAAGGCATTTAATAAGGGGATATATTAAACTCTTGGTTAAGTGCATTTATTTTCAGTTATCTCACCTGGTTTCTTTAACCTTGTCAGCCTCCTCAGCACAGCAAGTACAAGACATACATGTGCCGAGACATGAAACAGAGGGGAGGATGCCCCCGGGGGGCCAGCTGCACCTTTGCACATTCACAGGAGGAGCTAGAAAAGTAAGTGTACCTCTTACTACAGAAATTCATCCAATCTCTTTTTCACCTTATCCATGTTATTTATCATATCTAGGAATGGGGAGAGGAAGCATAACTTGGCTGTTAAATCGCCAAGAAATAATGTGAAAAACTAACAGTAATCTCTTAGGTTTTGGAACTGTTCTTTCTTAGATATACGATATTTGGCTTCAGCAGTAACGCAGCTCTGAAAGTTTCCTATTTACACAAGTGTTATTTGAGATTTTGGAGGTGGACTATTTTTCTTATTTAAGTGTGACTAAACCTGTTGTTTGACTGCATCCATCATGGTCATTTATTTGTGTATTTCTCCTCTTACCTTTATATTCAGGTGTGAGAGGTAGGTTGCTGGCACTTTTCCACATGTAGGAGTTCTCTTGTCCTCCTGTGCTGCTAGGGCTATCCAGAGAGCTAAAAAGGAGCATTGCAAGTTTTCTTTCTACTACCGCTACTCTTTTGAAACTTTGACAGGCTGCACATGCAGTAACCTAAAAGTGGTTAGAGGTATTGTTGAAGGTTTAAATTGTGGTCATATGAAGTTGGCAGTAAACAAGCTACATTCATTACAGATTTAGAGGAGGCACTCAGTTACCCAAGCACAAGCTGCTGCTGTTTTGAAGGTGGTTTTAAAATTCTTTTGGAAACTAAAACAGGTTGTATAAGAGTTAAAAGAAATAAATACAGTGTATTTTATGCAGTATATATAACCTGTGACTTGTTTTTGGGGCTAAAATCATTCACTTCTTTCAACGAGAAGGTGCTTTTTTATTTAATCACAAGAAAACTCCAAAGATTTGGAAATGGTATGCAGTCTTTTTTTTTTCTTAAAGATCTAAAACTTCTAATATTAACATAGCAGTTCACTGGCTGTATAGCCAGCATGCAGTACATAGGCAAAATGAGAAGAAAAAAAAATAGCTGAGCATGTGGTGTTACAGTGACAAAGGCAGTCATTCAAATGAACAGAGAATAGGACTTTGATATTTGTGTTCTAGAGAAACAGTTGGGTGTTTTCCCCTTTTGTCATGGTGTTAAAAAAATGGAGATTGGTAATGGTGGTTTGGATGGTTAATAAGGGTGGTGAGTCAGTACCTCTGAACTAGTTGTATGTATCAAGGAGGACAGTTTGTTGGCTTTGCAGGTGAAAGAGGCCTGTTTTATCTAGACTGGCTTGTATGCCTTTAGTAATGATTTTGTCCTGGGGTGAGGTGAACACTTGCTCTGTTCCAGGTTGCAGCAGTTTCTGTAGGTGGTTGGGGGTAACTTTTGAGTTCTGATTCTTCCTTGTACTTTTTCTCTTTCCTTAATTCCTTTGAGTAAATAATGCATTAGTGTTGTTCCTTTTAAAAATGTTTAGTATGAATAATACGCATTGCTGTTGCTATGTAGTTCCTGTATCTCTATATATAGCTTTAAGTTTGCGGGAACGTTATGGGGAAGTATGTGGTAATGTCTTAGATAGCAAATTATAATCTAGACTTGCTTAAACAGCAGCTGATTCCCCTTTTGGCAAGGGATGAAGACCCAGAGTGCATGGGCAAATACTAAAATTTTTTAGCTATTTTTGTGTCCTGCACGTGTGGAGACAGCAATGAAAACTCGTAACATTTTTCAGAAAAATTCAGAGGGCAACACTGTGCGACTTTCATTTTTTTTCTAAGTATTTTATCTTGGAGGGTGCTATATAAACCCTTCCTGTCACCTTGAATGGATGTCCATACATGTGCACCTATGTCTCTTGAGCATGCTGTTGTGTTCTAGATGAATGGGCAGGGATGGCCAGTCGTCCTCATCTTGCAAGTTGTGTCAGGAGTTCAGAGTCAGGAGCCATCAGACACTGCACCTCTAAGAGACCTGATGGGTGTCAAGAAGGAATTGGCAAAGTAGAGTGACAGTGATTTCCCAGTGTCCTGCTGCTGCTTTGCTGGGAGAAACTGGTTTGGGTATTAGGCAGAGTGCCAGAGCAAAGCAGTAAGTTCAGCATGGGGAGCTCACTTCCGCTGGCCTCTGTGTGTCCAGCTGACTTGCATGGCTGGTGTGAGATGACAGAATGTCTTCTGAGCAGTGTATGTTCAGAAGGCTGTAGTCTGTCCCTACTCAAGTGCTTCTGCTTGCAGTGATAGCGTGGTTTGTTTACTCCCTTGTAATGCATTCTGGATGATTCCCACTGTCAACACTATGTAGCTTGAATTTATAGTTTGATTATGTGAATAAATATTAATCCAGCCAGGAAATTGGGGTGTTGATGGTGAGTTAGGAAGGTGGCAAGATGATACTCTTACAGATGAACAGCTCAAATCTGTATAGCAGTATAACACCTTGACTCTATCCTTGGTCACATCTAAAAACCAAAACAACAAATAACTTGTTGCATCTGTTGCATTGCTGTTAATGCTGTGCATGTGGGCAAACATAAACTCTGACTCCATCTTCAGATAATCTTTAACTGCCCCCTTTTTCTACAATAGTGTGTGTGCTTTCCTAGTTGTGTTACTGTTTTGCTTGTTAGGTAGGATGCAAGTGTATTGGCTTTAATCCTGTTGAAACCTTCTTACATAGGAAATGGCATTTTATTCCACAGTATAAAAATAGTGGGAACACTCAAGCCTACAAATATGTCCTCCCACTTGTATTCTGGTATCTAAGCTAGTGGCAGGATGTTTAGTGGAGGACCTTCAACTCTGGAATTTGCTCTCTTCGATAGTCCAATACTGTCAGTCTTCTGTTTTTTGTGGAATGTTAGTTAAAAGGCTTATGTTAGTTCAGACACATCAGAACCAGGTAGATTTTTGGAATTACAGTGTATTCATAGAGTTTTATCTCTGCAATCACTTAATTTATCAAACACAAATGGTGTGAGCTGCATTTTGGTATAGTAACATAAATCTTAAACTGTGCTTTAAAAGATATCACATGGCAATAAAGGCTTGGCTTGGCTTATTGTTGGGATAATGGTGCAAAAAGGAATCTGTTCGTATTTTGTCACTAATTTTCTGATGTTAGTTTATTCTCTGAATAAAATAGACTTGAATAGTCTGTTATTTTTACTCTGAAGTGTATGTTACTATAGGTAGTATTTTGCGAGGTTTGATTTTGGTTTTCTTCTGTACAGTTGAAGTGCATATATATACAAGAAATTAGATTTAAACTTGCTGTGTCATGTTTAGCTGTGAATTCTTGGTGTACTTGTCATTAAAAATCCATCCTTGTTCTTCTCTTTGAAACAGCTACCAACAGTTCAAATAGCAGTGAAGTTGTAGTCAAACAGATATTCGTAACAAATTTCTCACAAGCCCGCAGGAAACTTGAATTCAAAATTGAAGCTTTCGGTAGCATCTCTGTTTGAAAAAATCTTGAAAATGCAAGTCTTTTTTTTGTTGTTTCAATTTTTGATGCGTGGTTTCTTTTTCTGAAGATTCCGTAAAATGAACAAGCGTCTGGTTCCCAGAAGACCCCTGAGTGCCTCCCTGGGCCAGCTAAATGAGGTGGGCCTGCCTTCAGGAGCTATCCTCTCGGAGGAAGGGGGAGTGGACTTGCCCAGTAGGAAAACTTCTGCACTGCCAAATGGAATTGTGTCAACAGGCAGCACAGTGACGCAACTTATTTCTCGAGGGACTGACTCCGGTTATGAAACTGCTCTGAAGCCAGGGAAGATCGACCATCTGAGTAGCAGTGCCCCTGGATCCCCTCCTGACTTGTACGGGTCTTCCTAAATGTTGTTCAAAGTGCCATGTGTGTAAATATGCAGTAGAAACAAAGTAAATCCATTCTCTAAAGAAACAGAACAAGGTTTTTTGAGGTTGCTTCTGTTTGATTGGGATTTTTTTAAGTGATTAAATAGTAGAATGGAAAACTAAAACTCTAAACTGCTGTACTTCCCTGTTTGCTTGAGATGGTGATGTAAGCCTTCAGAAGGTGAAATATAGACAAAGCACAGTGTTTTTGTGTACAGTGCGCTCTATCAGGCCTTAATGAGCAGTTGCATTTTTCTACTTTTTAGGCTGGAATCTGTCCCCAAGAGCTCTATTTCTGCCTTACCTGTGAACCCTCATCCTGTGCCTGCTCGGACACCAGCAGATCTGCCTTCAGTGTCTGTCACCAAGCAGTTGCAGATGGTACCACGAGGGTCTCAGTTGTATAATACTCAGCAAGCAGATATGTTTTATCAAGATCCTAGAGGAGCAGCCCCACCGTTTGAGCCAGCACCCTACCAACAAGGTAGGTTTGAGACCAAGCTCTATCTTTCATCTTCATACAGATTTTGTTTCCTTCCCACTCTGGTGTTTACTTAGGCTCTTAAGTTGGAGTTCGCTTGCATATCACATGGACTGTAGGCACTAATGTGGTGATGGCATAATAAAATGGAAGTTGGCAGACTTTTTATGTCTTGACTGAGACCTTCAGTGCAAGTGAAACCAGAGGTTTGTATCCATCCAGTGTAGCAAATCCTTCCTCTTTCAGTTATCCTCAACTGGGCTAGATCAGGGATCTGGTAAGCCTTAATTCAATTTGACTTGAGGAAAATGGAAATAAAGCTTAACCAGCAGAGGAGTTTATGCTTGAGGGATGAAAGAACTTACACCTCTAATTAGAACTGTATGAATGTTTCAGAAATGTCTGCACATGCATGTGATGAGTAGAGACAAGTGAAACTGGAGAAGGGCTGAGCGCAAAAAAAAGAAAACATCTTAAAGGAGGAAATAAGCGAAGTTTTAAGTATAAGGAGACCAAGCAGAGAAAGATAATATTGAAGAGGTTTAAAAAGTATGGCTATATATAAAGACAGGGAATGATTCTTAGGCAACATAAGATTAGAGAGAGAAATTACATAAAGTGACATTAATGTGGAAGAAAAATAAGGAATGAAAGACTGAAAGTATTGAAAAGAAGAAGAAAAAGCTCTAGAAAGGAAAGACAGGGGGACGCACCATATTTGAGAAAGTTGCAGAGCTTTTTGAAGGAAAAAAAGGTTACATTCAATTATTGTGTGCAAATGAAAATCTGAGTTGTCCATAAAATTTGATGTACACGTTGTTAATGATGTGCACATATTCATTATCCAGAGATATGAGAAATTACTGAAATCTTCGTATAACTAGGAGGTGGAGATGTGATCTTAGAAGTCTTTGGTGATACACAGTACTGAAATTTCCTTCTAGAGGTAGAACGAATCTTTAGATAGCTTTTAAATTCTACTTAATCCAAGTTTCTTTACACAGGTAGTGGCTCTGATACGTTGGGACAAACTGCATTTTAGTTGTGTAAGATAAAGATGTACAGACTAATCTTGAGTTTACTTTTTAGGTCTTGTCTCGCTGTCCTGGTTTTGGCTGGGATAGAGTTACATTTCTTCCTAGGAGCTGGTACATTGCTATGGTTTGGATTCAGAGTGAGAATAATGTTGGTAAAACAACAGGGATGTTTTAGTTGTCACTATGTAGTGCTTATCCTAAGTTAAGGATTTTTTTCATTTCCCATGCTCTGCCAGCATGGAAGAAGCTAAGAGGGAGCATGGCCAGGACAGCTGACTCAAAGTAGCCAAAGGGCTCTTCCATACCACAGGGCTCCACGCTCAGTATATGAACTGGGAGGGAGGGTGGATCGCTGCTCTGGCATTGGTCAGTGGGTGGCAAGCCATGGCATCATGCATCACATGTCTTGGGTTTTATTTCTCTCTCTTTTTGTTAGATTCCTTTTCATTACTATTTCATTACTATTATTATTGTTGTTTTATTATTATTGTTATCTGTCATGGTTTGGGCAACTGAGCACCATGCAGACCTTTGCTCATCTCTTCCCCCACCCCACCACTGGGAAGGAGAAAATGAATAAAAAGGCTCAGGAATGGAGATAAGGACAGAGAGGGGTCACTCACCTATTAGCAGTCACAGGCAGAGAAGACTTGTTACAGAAAGGAAAAAAGACATCAGTTTAATTCAGAACACTAACAACAATGATATTAACAGACAGAATGGGACAGTGAGAAGCGTTACCATATCTTAAAAACACCTCCCTCACAGCCCTCCCTTCATCCCAGGCTGAGCTTTGCTCCTGGTATCTCTGTCTCCTCCCTTCCTCCCCCAATGGCACAGGGGCAGGGGATGGGGGGTGCAGTCAGTCCTACTCTTCTTCCTCCAAGGAGGAGGGGGAAACACTCCTGCATTCTTCTCCCTGCTCCAGGTGGCATCCTTTTCACAGGAGACAGTCCTCCACAAACTCTCTCCACCATGAGTCCTTACCATGGGATACATTCTTCTCGAGATGCTCCAGTGTGGGTCACCTCCACATGTTGCAGTCCTCCTAGCACAGAAATACGACAGCAGGAACTTCTTCCCACAGAGCCCCGGGGGTCCTCCACAAGCAAATCTCTGCTTCTCCAGTGATCTCCATGGGTAGCAGGGGGGTGACCATGCAGTATCGCCATGGGATACAGCTGGGGGTTGTCTCTGCTCCAGTGCACACCCCTCTTCCTCCCTCCTCCTTCCTTCCACTGACCTTGGTGTTCTCAGCGGTATCTTTCTCATAACACCTCCTCACAAGTCCCGCAGTCCCCTCAGGTTCCCCTTTGTTATTGCGGAGGGGCTACTGTCCCTAGTTGTCCCAGCCTTGGCCAGAGGCAGGTCCCACTTGGAGGTTCAGGAAGCCTCTTGCAGGGGACCACTGCTGTAGCCCCCTCCCCCGCTACTAAAAGACCCTGACACACAAACCCAGCACATTATCACATTTTAGTTAAGTTATTAAACTGTTCTTATCTCAACCCACAAGCTTCACTTTTTTTTGATTCTCCTCACTGTCCCACTGGGATGAGGAAGGAGTGTGAGCGGCTGCGTGGTGCTTAATTGCTAGCTGGGGTCAAACCAGACACTAGCTAAAAGCATTTGTATCAATCTGTGGAGACGTTCTAGTGAATTATTCCTATTTGTTATGCTAGCAGGACTTCTGTGGAACCTGTGGTAGGCTCAGTCTCACCACCTCTTTTCCAGCTACTGTGACCTTTATACCTTGCTGGTTTCTTATTTAGATAATTAAACAGTGTCACTTGAGCTTTGGATCAGCTTTTGCTTTTTCAAGGTTTTCTGTGGTTGATTTTGAGGTAGAAATACCACTGGGGACAAACAACAAATGTGATTTTATGCCATAAATTTATGCTGTAATTTATGCCATTCACTTTATGATACTTGTAGACTGGAGTATTTGAAAAAATTTATTTTTGTGGACAGCTGTGACAATTGCTTTCTGTATCTTGTTTGTGTTTTTTCCTCTTGCCTTATTTCAGGAGTTTACTATCCCACTCAGTCCATGTCTCGCTTTGTCCGACCTCCTCCATCAGCTCCTGAACCTGGTCCACCTTATTTAGACCATTACCCACCCTACCTTCAGGACCGTGTGGTGAGCCCCCAGTACACGCAGCCACAGCAGTATCCTCCAATGGGACAACCCATCTACCCGCCACACTATGACAGCCGTCGCGTCTATCCCCCTGTCCAGCCGTATCAGCGAGAGGACATAGTCCGAGGAAGCCCTGTACCTATTGAAATTCCACAAGCAGCTGTACCTTCCTATGTACCTGAGTCCAGAGACAGATACCAGCAAACAGAGGGTTATTGCCAAGTGGCTCCACACGTCAGTCAGATCAGACCTTCATGCCACAGGGTATGGTTTTTATAGTGTGGGTTTTTTTGAGAGAGAAAAATATAAACTACCTGAAGTTGAATATTGTTGTAGTAAGGTGATGGGTTTTGTGCAGAATTAGAAGTTTGAATTTAAGGGGTACATTTGACAAAGCTGATGAAAAACTGGAAGGCAGTTTAGTTACTGATCAACTCTACAATTGTAATGATGTTAATATCTAAAAGAGCAGGCTACTACTTAGTGCTCAAAGTAAAAAAGCTTTCTAGTTAAGTTTGGAAGTCTCATATGGCCCTGACTTTTCCCAACAAAGATGAGGCTGGAGAGGGCCACTCTTTCTAGCACAGATTAAATATAGTGTGTACAAACAGTTGTGTGTGTGTTCTCATACTGCCCATCTCTGTGCCTAAACAAATAAATAAGCAAATATACATCCCTTGAAGGGAACTAAAAATTCTGCTCTTCCAAATTTTCTCTACTTTAAGATTGCTAGCTGGAGGGTCTTCCTAGTAGAAGTGTACAAGCTTGTTTTGATGAATCACCAGCTGGAATTGAGTCCTGTAGAATGTTAGGTTTTATGTAGCTATCGTTCAGATTAAAGGCTCTGAATCGTATTGCTGAGTCCAGGAAGCATTTTTAACATAGCTTATAAAGTTTTATATGTTTTGATTTTGACATGTTTATGGGATGTTTAGTTCTATTGCAAAATGAATAAAAAATGCAAACTAAGTGTGACTAGGTTATAATCTGTAGGGCTCTACCACTTCTCCCATATGACTGAAATGGGGACTTGCCATGCTGGAACATGTTCCAGTGGAAACGGCTTTGCCAAGTTGAAACACAGTCGTGTGGAGCTACCTGTAGTTTTAAAGTTAGAAACACTGGGTTAGTTGAGGATCTAAGCAGTTTTAAGCAGATAATATTCCTTGCCTTTGGAATATCTTGAACTAACACTCTGGCCACTGTAGGAACATGCATGTCCTGTATTAAACATGCAAGTTAACAGATAAGTAATGATCACTTTGTTAAAGTCTTTTATTGTAACAATACTGTCTATTCACTGTATTGTCATTTCTTTGCAGTATATGCTTGCCACATTTTGTAACATATTTCTGTCTTCATTTCAGCCTCATCCCAGCCTAGACGAACTTCACCGACGAAGAAAAGAGATCATGGCCCAGCTAGAAGAGAGGAAGGTGATTTCTCCACCTCCTTTTGCACCATCACCAACCTTGCCTCATCCATTTCATTCGGAGGAGGTAAGCATATTTTGAAAAAAATGTGACTTACTAGACTGTTTAGAAAATACTTCAGAATTTGTGTGTGCTGATAGGTGAAGGCAACAGGAAAATAAGAATAGTATAGAGTTGGCAAGTAGGGTGGCGGGGGTATACATTTTGTGCAGATAGTGTCATCTCCATTGTCTCACTTTATTTGCTCCTGATATGTTTAGAATGAAGTAACGGCTTGATAGAGGGGTTGGGTTTTTTTAACCAAGGTCAAAATACCACTTTCATACTGGCCAAGTGAAAGTCAGCACTGGGAGTGTAGCCAGCTGATCAGAATTTGACACATTTCATGGTGATGTGTCTGATGAAACATAATCACGGTGATGTTTTTCTTCTAGTTGACTGTTGCTGAACTAAGTAGCGGTGACTGTGAAGCTGCTTCTTCCCTTCACTTACAGAACCAGATTTTTGTTTTTGTACAGTACTTGGATGAAGACCTGAAGGTAGCTGGGAAATACAAAGGAAATGACTACAGCCAGTACTCTCCCTGGTCCTGTGACACCATCGGCTCCTACATTGGAACCAAAGATGCAAAACCCAAAGATGTTGTGGCAGCAAGGAGTGTGGAGATGGCGGTATGTAAGGATTAGGGGAACACAGCAGAGAAGTTGATACTTCAGTTAGCTGGGAGGAATACTTTCATTTGCTTTCCCGGATGATGGCAGTGCTTGTATTTAAGCTCAGAAGTGCATTGCAGTCAAAGAATGCATTTGCAAGTGTGCAGTGCTTTGTTTTCAAAGTTATGAACAGTCTTACACCTGCATAGGTGTGTTAAAATTCTGGGTACAGATGCAGACTAACCACTGCTTTAAAGCTATAGCAAGAGGTGTTTGGCCATGATTCTTTACACTTGCTTGAAATCCAAAAATGACTCTGTACTGGCATCTTTGTTGATTAAACATGTCCATCTGTTGCTTTCTGTACTTCTTTCTGTCGGAGGGAGGTGCTGTGACTTAACTTTGTGCTATTAATTCCTTTTAAGGTGACTGTTACCGCTGTTAACCAGTGTTACTAGTTTTTACTTGAATGACTCTTTGTGACTTGTGACCACAAGAATATCCTAAATTCGCATGAAGCTTTTTAGAGAACCATAGTCATAACATAATTACTAGGCAGATTCTTCTTGAGGGCAATTTCTGACTTTATGCTGTGCTTATTTAGACCTTCACCCAAGTCATGGGTGTCTGGCTGTGATCTTCCTTTGAGCCACTTCTTTCTGCTAGGTCAGTGCAAAATACGGGACTGTGCTAGGGTGTCGCTACCTAGATTGTAGAAGATAATAAATAGGATTCTGAAATACCACCACTACTTCTATTTCTCTATGACATTTAAGCATTGCTCAAAAGCAACAAGTAGGCTGGTAGCCCATGAAAGTAGGAAGACATTCAGGTCTTCAAGAAAAAGGACTGTTTAGTCTGAGGGACTGTTTTGCAGAGATGCATCTGTGTGTTTTCCTTCACCTCCTATCTGCAAAAATGTTCTACCATCTTTTGTTTATATATCATCACTGTCATGGTGACCTTTCTTTGGCCAATAAGGGGAAGGGGAAGAAATTTCTATCCAGAACTTATTCTTCTGTGGACAGGTGCTTACCTGTTGCAGTCCCTTAACTAAGTTGTAGGATTTTTCTCTCCAGCTTCTCTTCTCCTGCAGGTGGGCTTCCCTGTTCCCCCTCTGCCTCATTGGAACTGAACGCTAGACAGCTTCTGTCCACTGAATTGCTTTACTGTAAGACCTCGAAGGCACTGTGTGAAATGGGAGCAAAAAGACGTCTTTCTCCCAGAAAAAGCAGAGCAAACAAAGGCATTTCATCTGCAGCTCTGCGTTTGTTACATGTCTTTTTGCTGTCAGTCCTACACAGTGTGTTTGCCTTGAGTCGTAACGTTGTCACATTTGACCTGGGGAAGTACTGAGATTACTCGGAATCAGCTTATTTCTGTCCAAGTGGCAGCATTCTGGAACCAGCAAAGAACTCTTGTCTTTCATTACTGCTGCTAGAGAACTGTAAAGAAACTAGAAGTCAGTTAGGAGAAGTAATAAGGTTCTAGAGAAGCATCCTTCTTTTTTCATTGCTAAACAAAACATTTTTCTGCTCCAGAGCTAGTTTTCATATAAGTAAATAGGATCTCTGCTGCTCTTCAGTTTTTGTCTTGTCCCAGGAGACCTTCACTGTGGATGGCAAGTGAATGAATTCTTCTTTTTTTTTTTTTGTATTGTTTATAAGAGATTCCTTTTTTCAGTGGTAAGAATGGTATCATATGAGAGTGCATAATGCTGTATTTTATGCAGATGGCATTTCAACTTTACTATGTTCTTTCCCCCACTCAGGAAATGGAAATAAAAATGGTACTGTTATCCTATGGACTCGAGATTAAAATGTCATCCTTTTCAGAATTCCAGAGTAGATGTTGTCTAATGCCTCTTCCAAATTTAACGTTACATTTCTTGAGTTTAGCTTCCAACGCAGTTGTGACTGCCATTTTCACCCCTTTGTTCCTGCCTTAGCTATGTTATCTAGTCTCTTTCTAGCAAACCTTACCCTCACTGAAAGCTTGCAGAGTTTTATTTTAATTTTAGATTGTACTGAAGTTTTAAGCCTTTAGCCAGGCTCCTCTTCGTGTAGTAGCCCTGCTTACCTTGTTCTTTGTGCTGTACACAGCACTTTGCTACAGTTTTATTTCTTTAGCAAAGTCTTAACTCAATTTTGGCAGTTCTTTCTGTGTTACACTTTCTGGCAGCCAATGGATAGCTTTCCCATTTAACTAAGAACTTTTCCCTTTTTTTTTTTTTTTTTTTAATTGAGTCTGTTTATATCTGTTACGATTTTGTGTTTATCTGGATGTGGTGATTATTTGGAAGGAAGGGGGTTTTTTGGTTCTGGGTTTTTTTGGTTTATCTTTTTTGTGTTGAGGAAGCTTTTTTAAAATTATTTTTTTTATTCCTGGGAACAATCCACTGACTTGGGTTCTTAAGTTACTCACTCTAGGTGACTTCTCCCATAACTGGCCTAACTTTATCTCCAAAAAAGCTTTGTTAAAAATCTTTATGATAATCTGTTGTTTCTTCTAAGTAAGTTAAGTCAAATTTGACTTATCCTGCTAAAACAAGCTTGTTTCCTGTGCCCATCTTTTCCTTTGTGGCTGCTTGGTAAAGTTCTCTGAGTAGAGAGAGAATATTTTATATGCTCATTTGTTGACCCATTAAGGTGTTTGAGTCTGAAGCTGAGTTAGAAACCAGGATGTTCCAAGTAGTACTACTACTTAATGAAAAATGTGCCTGAAAAGATGTGCTAGGCATGTCCAAGTAAGTGCTGTACTGAATAATTCCCATTTTGAGTCATCTGCAGGCTGTTACATGAGATGGTTTTTAACACGAGGCTTCAGAGAAATTTCTTTTGACTTTTGAAGGAGTATGTATCCCTCAGAGATGCACACTGATCTCCTCTTTGATTTTATTCTGGAGTCTTTTTCTCCTTCTTTCCCGTTAGACTTTCTCAGTCTTAATTTTCTTCTGCTGCTGCTCTCTTCTCTTGGATCTGTTCACAATTAATCATGCAACTGTTTCACAGTGGTGATAGTAATGGTTATCTTGAGTTAGACCATTAAAAAGACTTCAGCTAATAGTGGAGTTATAAACTGAAGAATAGGAAGACTAGTTGAAGGATGGGTGGAATAGAGGATACAGGAGAGACTCACAGTATTGGTATCAGCTTGTTGCAAAAGGAATGTGGTTTTGTTCATTTCTGAATAAGCTTTTGACTGCCTTTTCCATATCTTGTGTAGAACGTAGATAGTAAAGCCATGCGTGACCAGCGATTAGACATGCAGCGAAGAGCAGCAGAGACTGGTGATGATGACCTCATTCCATTTGGAGACCGACCAACTGTGTCGAGATTTGGGGCTATCTCTCGTACTTCCAAAGCGATGTACCAGAATTCTGGTCCCATGCAGGCCATGGCAGTTCAGGGAGCTACCACCAAATCAATCATTTCAGGTACCGTGTGTGCTCTTCGATTTTGCTGGCTGTTGCTATTTAGTTTGGTACTAAAGCATAACTTGTTTCTTGTCTTAAAAACATAGATGAGTATGTATGTTATGCCACTAACAATAACTAGGTAGGGCTGAAGAAGGCTGCTACTACCTTCTGTTCCATAGACAGGTTTGTGCACACATAGTGTATATGTTAGTGGCTTGTTACTGTTTGGAAAAAGTTATTTTGTTTTGATGGTCCCTCTGAGATGAGGATTCTTTTAAATCCGTTGCAATAGAATCCAGAAACTTAGTGCTTTCTCAAACATATAATGCAAAACCATCATAACAAAGTACTGCACTGCACTCTTACTTTATGGGTAGTTACTGCTGCAAGCTTAATGGAGCCATTGTTCTGTGTACCATTAGGCAAAGCAAATAAAGTAGAAACAGTTCATTTTTTACACAACTATTTTCTAATTACATGTTTAATGTAGCTGTATATCTTACCCCAATAGATGGTCTGTTTCTTAAGGTGCACTGAATAATCTTAAGAAAAGACTTAATTATATTCCCCAAAACTTCCTTCTAGATTATTTTCAGGACTTAACTGCTAGAAACAAACCAAAACGTTATTTGCTTAATTCAAGCAGTAACTTTCTAGATTTTATCACAGATAGAGAACTGTCTTCCCTGAAAGCTTAATTCTCAAACTCTGTTAGCTACATATCTCAGAATTACCAATCAACTCTCAAATCTTTTAGGAACTTAATTAGTAAAAATAATTGCTCTCACAGTGGCTATAAGTTTGGTTTTATGTCCATGTCTCCCTGTGTGAAGACCTTTACAAACTCAGACGCTGTAAGGCTGTCATAAATCTTGGGGATGTGAAGGAAGAGTCATGCATTACACACATGAGACTATTGATGCGTAGTATTTTTATCTTCATTTCAGCAGAAGAAACATTAGACTTCACTCTTAAGAGGGCTGGCCTTTCTGGTTATTCTCTAATGTCTGTCTAATGTGTGTGGCTGAACTACTTGATAGTTTTGTAGTAATGTGACATGTTTTCCTTTGTGTTCACTGGCAGACTACAACCCTTATGGAACTCATGGTGGCTGGGGAGGCTCTCCATATTCTCCTCATCAGAATATACCTTCTCAGGGACGCTTTAGTGACAGGTAGGATTACTTTTATTTTTTCTCTGCCTTTTTCTACATTTTCTTTATTTTTTTTTCCTGTGCCAGCTGAGTAAAGCTTCCTTATTTTGGCTTTTCTGATCCCAAAGGGAAAGACTGTCCATGTCGGATGTGGCTGGTCATGGGAAACAGTTGCCCTCAGCTGAACGAGAGCAGCAGCTGCGCATGGAGCTGCAGCAAGTAGACCACCAGATTAGCCAGCAGACACAAATGCGAGGACTAGAGGTTGGTACCAACATTTGGAAGAGCAATGAGGGGTGGTATGGAGAGAGATGAAGCTAGTAAAGCTGTCTTTTTTTGTGTTGATCTTTCTCTTGACAGTAGTGATATTAGGAACAATACTTAATTCTGTGATGCCAGGCATCAGGGCTATGGTACAAGTGTAAACTTCTCTGCTTAGCCGCAGAAACCTCCCTGTACTTCTTGTGCAAATCAACGTAGTACTTGAGTCTGCACTCTGTGCTCATTCATCTTTTCTTTCATTCTCTCTCACTTACTCCCCCTCTCTGTTCATCTACCTACTCAGAGGCAAACTTGTGGTGTAGATACCTGTTCCTCTGGGCTTTACTGCCATTGGAAATGCCTGATTTTATGTACAGAAAGCTGTGACCTTCATCCATTACATGTTTGGCTTTGTTATACCTGTTTCTTCCTAAATAGCGCAGGAGTCAAGAAAATAAATATTAAAACTTGAAAAATTAAAGCTTAGAAGAAATGTAGTCACTTGGAACATGAGGAAACATTCTTTGTAAAAGAATGAATGAGTTCAAATCTTTGTATTTTGTGACACAGAAGAAGAAATGTCAAGGCATAATGAAAGAATTGTTTTAGCAAAGCTTTAGTTACTTTTTTTTCCTCCTAGGAAAGATCAGTAAATACTTACCAGAAAGTTATTCTAGGTACCTCAGCAACTGTTCGTGTTTTCCTGGTAGGAATCACTGTAAGTAGTGGATAGCAGCTTCTTCTGAAGCTGTGGTTACCTAAGAACACACATTAAAAAGGAAAGTTACTACAAATTAGATGTAAGAACTCACAATTTTTACGTTGCAGCAGCAGTTACAAGTAGTATGTGTTTCGTAGTTACTTGAAACATAACTTGTGTTCTTGTGCTCTTATTTGGGAACAAGAGGAGAAAATTTAAGTCTTGCATGTCTGCCTTTGCCATAATAGAAGAGTATTGGAAAGTTGCAAAACCCGTAAGTGGCCTGCCTCTCCTGCTCATTATTATTGTGATTGTGTCAGTGTTAAATCCTACATAGTTGTGTTTTGTGCCTTGATTGTACCGTAATTTGAACTTGCCAGAACTAATTGGTTGTTTTGAGTAATAACAGCTTTCAGTTTCTCTTGTATTCAGAGCTTCAAGCAGATACTTGAAATCAGGAGGCTTTATTGATTTACCTGTTACAAGGTTGTAATAATCGCTAGAATTAGATTGTGTTGCATTTTTTCCTTCAAATGAACGAGCATTTCTACTTGAAGACCAGCCAGTTGTTCAGTTATGTAGAGTAGTAGATAGTGTGTTTAAGTGCAGAGCACACACTTACCGACCTGATTCCAAAGTATTAGCAGATTATTTTTTTTGGAGTGGCTGACACAGCTACTGCTTTTACTTGGCTGCTATTAACTTGCAGCTTGTGAATGACAGTAGTCACTTGCCCCTCTGTTCATGTGCTTCCTCATCTGGGTCAGTAGAGAGCTTCATACCGACATCCACATCTCTCAAGGTACTTTATATGCTTTAGTAATAATTCTGGCACTACTGTAGAATTAGATAAATTCTACTACTGTAAAATAAAGCTGCAGATTTGCTTATCTGTTGTTACCTTTCATTCAACAAATAGCTCACAAAGAGGAGTGGTTTTGTTCATGTGTTTAATCTTAGTTTTGAGAAGGGAGCAGTATATGGGAAAAACCCATGCAAATTTGTTACAGTAAAAGGTATTTAACACTGCTTGTTTAAAAGTGAAAAGAATTGTCTGCATGTAAAAACTTGCCATTGTTCCAACTTGCATTGGAAGTGATTTCAGTTGAGAACTTGTTAAGCATGGAGAGAGAAAAGGCCTTGGTTTTGCAAAGAAGCAATACTCAAGAGTTATGGCTTAGAGCTCTTTCTGTGCTTGGTGTGTTGTGTGCTCAGTTGTGTATGTGCTTGGCTTTATGCATTTAGGCTGTTAGTAACAGGCTGCTGTTGCAGAGGGAGGCGACTACCCTGGCAGGCCAACCGCAGCCCCCACCCCCACCTCCCAAGTGGCCTGGGATGATCTCAAGTGAACAGCTGAGCTTGGAGCTACACCAGGTGGAAAGGGAAATTGGAAAGAGAACCCGGGAGCTGAGCATGGTGAGTGCCCTGGGGGAGGGAGAGGTAGAGAGCTGTGTAGCAGGCTGCAACCCTTTCACCCTTGCAAAGAGGCTCTCTGCTGGATGACCACAGCTGGAGTCATCCATCATCATCTTCACCTCTTTATTCTTCAAAATCTCCTGAGAAGTTTTTTGATTCTTCTTCGCAAAGAATTTGAATTCTAGCCACTTTTAAATACTCTGCTGTTACTTTGTCACCATTTGAAAAGCATAGCGCTGAATTTGTTGAAAACTGTGAATTGTCTCTAAGGTCACTGTGCCATCTGTAAACTGCTTTAACATAGAAAACATCTACAGGTACAGGCTAGTGTTCAGAAGTCTGTCTGCTGTTACAGTCTATGGTCTTTGCTTGTTGTTACAAGAATCATCCCTTCCTTTCGGTAAATACTGTGTTCTGAGAGGATGAGTATATCTTACTGAGTCTGTTTTCTTGTTTCATGGCTTTTGTGGGTTACACTGTATGACTCCAATTTACAGGCCTCCATCATCGGTCTCAAAGGATGAAGTCTTAGTTTCTTTTAACACAGTGTTAAATAATTTTTCTTCTGTCTTTTTAAAGGAGAGCCAGTCTTCACTGGATATAAAAAACAAACTGGTCACCACTAAACAGACAGAAAATGGACAAATAGAACCGCAAAGCAAGGTTCCGGCTGAGGACCTCGCACTGACATTCAGGTAATATGGGCCTTCAACCTTTTTGTGTAACACAAGAATGACTTAATCAGGCTTGTTCTCCAGTATATGAATAATACCCCTTGTCTCGGGTTGGCTCTGATGTTGAAGCATCCACTAGGAAAAGATTGTACAAATACAGGTTTTTTTATAGTGCAAGCATTAATTAATTGCCATTTCAGTTGACGAGTAGGTGAGTAGAATGAGACTGTATTTCAGTTAACACAAGAATTGAAACATTTGTTAAGACAAAAAGTACATCTAGTCGATATTGGATGATTAGTAGGAAGAGCAGGAGATAAACAACAACTATAAAAGAAATCTTTATCTGCTGTTTTAGTTTCAAAGAAAAAAAAATGTTCCAAATGAGAGGAAAGTTATTCCATCCTGCTAAGGTTTTTGATGTGGAAGTTGTCTAGGAAGGTATGTAACTTTGAAAAAAGTTCACTTTCATTTATAGGCAGTAATCTTTATCTGTGTAGATGCTGGAATTGATTTCAATTCACATTTGATATTTGAAATAAGATGTTGGCTGGGAACGCTGGAAATCTACGCAGCAGGCATTTTCAGATTGCTGCAAGCATCTGCATGTATTCAGAGTACTACTTTGAATATAAAAGCCCAGATGTTTCATTAAGTTTACATAACTCGATGCGAGTATTTTGGACTTCAGAAAATGTATCCCTCTCAATTGCTTATGAAGTATGCACTTTCTTCTTATAACCAGTTCTCGAGTTCTGTGCTGCACCATTACATTAAGGAGTCCAGAGTAGAAACTTAATTTTTCCATATGAAAGCGTAGAAGTAATAAAACTGAAAAAACTTATTTTCTTTAAAAAATTAAGATAAATGATCCAGATGAGTTAAATATTTGGATATCTTTGCATTGTACATATTGATACTGTATGCCTTGTGGCATATACTGAAACAGTCTGCAAAATATAACTAATCTAGGACCCTGAAAATATGTAGTCGTCTTGTTTTTCAGTTAGCCTTATCTTAGTTCTTCCTTTTCTGGTAAGTATCTGCAGCATACCAGACAACTGTTTGTTACAGAGGGCAAGTCTTTGCATGTTTACGTATGTTCGTAACTGTTCATTGAGAAGCTTCAGCAACAAATATTGAAGTCCTTTTACATAAATGAAAAATTTCAGTACTTACTTCTCTTCACATCATCTCCCCTTTCTCCTCAACTTTCTTTCAGCAGTGATGTTCCAAATGGATCAGCCTTGACACAAGAGAACATTGGCCTCCTGTCAAACAAGACAGCATCTCTCAGCCTGTCAGAGGACCCGGAGGGAGGAGGAGACAACCACGACTCCCAGAGAGCAGGAGTTACACCCACATCTGCTCCATGAAGTGAGGCCAGCATACCCCAGAGTTTGTTTTGCTGGGGTGTCAGTAGCTTCCATCACGTTTTTTTCCAGGGGTAATTGAAGAAACCCAGGAGCAACAGCAGTAGCAGAGCAGCAGGTCCAGAGGCAATGTGCACAAACACAACTACTAGAAACAAATCCTGCACATAGTTCACATTAACGCATTTTTTAATTAAAAAAATGAAATTAGCAGTATCTGCAAGCAATTCAAATTAAATTTGTTTTTGTTCTGTGAATGAACTTTATTTTAATAACTTTGGACGCCTTGGATCCCAGGGCTTAAAAAAAAAGATATTATATATATACTCTGTTTGATTAATTGTATGATCTTAATGAAGTAGGTTTTTTCTTTTATTTTGATATTATTACATACCCAGTGCATAATTCCATATCAACTTAATTTTTCCAACAACTAAACCAACCTGGCCGCTTCCTTGTATGGTTTAAGGGTAAACAAGGGATGAGGGTTGGAGAGTAGCTGCAAATAGCAGTGTCAAAAGATGTGTAGCAAACTTCATTCTTTAAAATAATTCCTCCCATTGTGGCTAGGAACAGAACCCTAGCTTGTGTGAGACTTCTTGCTTAAATTATTTAAGTTTAAAATACAAATGACAGAATCTTTGCAGTGTGTGGTCCTTACTGTGTGTCCCAGCACAGCAGGTGTAATCAAAGAGGATAACAAAATAAGTGTCCAGCACCCATTATTTTATTTCAAAGTTGCTGGCCTTTTATTTTCTGTTGGAACTAAAGAGGCTGGCAGAACGCAGACCCATCTACTACAGCACAGGTATTTCTGAAGCTGGTTAGCTGGGGCTTGTAGTAGAGAGGCTTAATTAACCAGTGAAGGTTGTACAGCTGTGACCAAAGCAGAATCTCTAGAAACAGGAAGTAGAGAGAACATAAGGTTATGCAGTTGCTGGAAGGATGTTAATTGCCTGTGAGCTTGTGAATCATGTTAGTTCATCAAGTGTTTGCTGGTTTTTATTTTTTTTTCCCCCCCACCTTCTCACTATGCCTTTAAAACAAGCTTACCCAGAGTCCGTACAAGTAAGTTCATGCCGAGGGACTTACTGATCTTTTTGCATTTTGAAACAAGTCTTTCATGTATACCTTCTCAGCAACTCCTGCCTTTGTTTTTTCTTCATTGCTTTTTTATTATTATTTTTAAAAACATTATTTCCTCTATAACCTGAGGGGATTTTTACTTTGTTCACTGATACATCAGTTATTTAATTGTAAAGCTGTTGAGGGCCTTGAGACCAACATCTTTGATTTGTGTGCATTGATCATGGAAATCTTTGAAATGGGAATTTTTATTTCTTTTTTAAAGTTGGCATTCATTAAGTTCTGTGTGTATTAGAATTTGACACAAGAATCAATCTGCATCTTGTTTGCCACTGCTGCAGTGAATCCTTCCTAGATTCCCCTTTCATAGGGGAGTAGTTCTGTCAAAATGACCACTTAAGATGCAGCACAGATCCTGTCAGTAGTAGTCAGAAGTACTGAAAAGGAAACTTTGCTTGATGGATCTAGTGTGCTACTTCTCCAAGTCGATGCTTTGTAAGTATACGTTGGAGAAACTGTAAGCCTTTCTAGATTTCTTCTTTAAAAGTTAAAGAAATTAAAGATATTGTTTTACTGCTGCACGTTTTTTGACTCTATTGACATGCGCTGGGGTGAGATCCTGTACATGAATAATTCTGTGGAGAATGATTTTTGAAGTGCTGCTCCCTCTGCACCTTCTTGGCCTGTTATTGTTTTTTCTTTTTGGGTTAGACTACTAAATCAGAAAGCACTGGTTATGTAATAATAAATTACTGCATTGCTTTGGTTGGGTAAAGCAAGAGTTAATAAATTTTCTTGGGTTTTAGGTTTTTTTCCTTAACCTTAACTCCTGCTGAGGTCATAGCAACCTTGGGCTAAGCTTTGCATTCATCAAACTGTTAAATAAAACAAAATGGGGGGTGGGAGGGGATACAGTCCCACTATTGCCTACCAGTAGGAGAGTCCAAACAGAAGACTCTTTTGAGTAGCAATTATTTAATTTGCCCAGTCAAGGCACCGCGTTTATATACTATTTCACATTGAATTTGATTATGCCCGACAGACCTGGCTGGTCAAGGATTTGATACACATATTGGCTTGGGATTCGAGCTTTCTTTTTTATTTAAATAAAAATTTATATATAAATATATATATATATACATATATACATAGTTATATCTGTATATATATTGGGTATGTTTTAAGAATTTTTTCGCATGAGCGCAGCTGTTGTGATCAAATGTCTGGGAGGTAGAAGCACTGAATGAAAATAAAAGGCATTTTTCAGCGCACACGCCCACACTTTCCATGTGTCTTCACATGGGTTTATTTCGTTCTTAGTGGAACTTTAGCCTCTTAATTGACAAGAGTAGTTGTGAAGCTTGCTTTCTTTCTAACCCCTCTTAACTTCTGGCAAAGAATCATCTTTGCACTAGAATAGCTTCATCTACACTTTGCCCCCATCCATCTGTATCTCCTACGTGAGGCCTAGCATTACAGCTGCTCCCCTTCAAGCCGAGCAGAACTAGGCTGATGCAGTTCTGAGCCTGTCAGGTCTGTTCCTCCCTCCTCTGCTCTGGGCATGATGATGATCAAATGTGTTCCCCTGGCAGCCTGCTCACCAGTCAACTGACACAGGCACTGTGCCCTCTTCTCCCATCCTTTAGTGCAGAGCACCACCGTCAGGTCAGCCTTCTCATTATTTTTAATTAGTTTACTTTCTGTTGTGTCTTTATTAACACAGGGAGCTCATTTTAGTTGAGATAATTAGTGCAATATTCTAACCTAGGAGGCCAAGCCCAGAATGTACATTTTTTTGACTGCAGTAATTTTCAAAGACGGTTATGATATATTTGAATCTACAGATTCATTTTAAATCCTAGGAAGAAAATCTGGAAGAGCAGAAAACCTTTTCTCTTTTATTACTTATGCCAGCTAGTTTCCTTGCCAGGTTAGGGATTATGTTCTTTCCTCCACTTTTGCTCCCAGGAAGAATTCTTCAGTAAGAGTTTTTCAGATTGCTGGCCAACACAGGGTGAATGCTTCCAAAACCTGTGGATTAGAAGGGAGACGTTACTGTTGTTTTCTCTCCTTTATCCAGTTCTCCATGCTGTACTTTGTGCATAGTGTCCTTGTGATCAGTGTGTCCAGGTGAATGCCCTGTTTGCCCAGTTTTATAGTTTGGCTTGTTAAATAGTTTGTTTAATATCTACTGACAGTATTGATTTTTGGCTTTGTTTTTTCCCCTCCTCCTTTGTTTTTTTTTTTTTGCTTTTTTGTAGAAGCTTAGTAGATAAAACAAGTCAAACAGCAAATTGCAGTGTCTGCTTTTAAGTCTTTTCTGGAAGCTGCACCTAAAATTTTCCCTTTTTGTGGAAAAGCGTGCTAGTAGAACTGGGAGGACAGATAGTTCTACATATAAGGAAGCATTGATGGTTGCAGCAAATAAGCAGGGAATTAAAATTTCTGGAGTAACCCTGTATCCTGTTCCATTCATTTCTGTAGCCCATCAGTCATTGTCCCAGCTGTACAGGAATGCTCTCCCCCTCAGTGAAATTGGTCTCAGCTAGAAAGTGGTTTAGTTCTTTCTACTTGGGCAAGAAGAAACAGTATTACAATGGTGTTAGGGCACTACTGCATCATTTGGTAGTCAGGTTAGATTTTCTACTACAGTAGACAACTTTGAACCCTCATTGATACCTGGGTTTCAGCCCCAGCACAGATAACCCCCAGAATAGGAAGCTTCAAATGCTAGCTTAAGCTTCAGTGTGTCAGTGGTTCAGTCAGTGTAGAAATTATGTTTATTCTAGTGTTACTTTCCTCCTGTCAACTTCTCTTCTTCCTTTTCTATGACCTAGTTCTCTTTTTGTAACAGGAGAACCTTACACTCTTTCTTCTGCCCCTCTTGTATACTATTGTATCCTGTCCCATTTCAGAGTAGGACTTTTTTAATTGAGATCAGAGCACATTTCAAACTTGCAGCAATGTTATCCCCTTTTCCTCAAGTTCTCTCTGTTCAGTTTATTCTGAACCTTATTCCCTCCATTTTGTCCATACCTTACTTCCTTTCCTTATGTGGCTTGCCCATTCACCCTCCCTGATTGTCTAACAGTGACAGCTTGCTGCCTCAAAACAGAGCATTCAAATGAATTCGCTTAGCCAATAACTTCTGTGAAGTTGCCTTTTCTAATGGTGTTATTACTCAGTGATGCACAAATGTGATATTGCCCCTACTGGTAGGCAAACAGGGGATCTGTATAAACATGGTAAACTGCTGTTTTTCTTTAAAGGAGAGCCAAAGACTTGTGCTTTACACTTTTTTTTTTTTTCCTGGTGTAGCCATTTTGACTGTCAAATCTTCGTAGGGTTTTGTGAATTGACTGTATTATCGTAATAACAATTTTCAGAAGTTAATGATTGTCAAACCTTATCTGTGCATTGAATTGTGGAACATCATTCCATTTAGTCATACAATTTGCAATGTACTGAGATTTATCTGGGGTGTTCTGACATGTTTTCAGTCTCATGCACTCTCTCAGCTGACGGAATGGCACATTTAGAGAGGGAGAAGGAACACAGAAATTTTGTATAATCAGAGAAGCCTTGTCTTTAAGTGTTTAAATCTAAATTGAATACCAATTTAAAATTTCTTCAGTTACAGTAAAAGATAAATTGTGTTGCAAATGTGACTGACTTTTAAGCCCATTGGAACTGAAAAGACTTGTCAAACTGTAGCATTACATTAAATTAGATGTGGAAGAAGCAAACTTGTTATGATGGTATTGTCTCCTGGCAGCACAAATTGAGTAAGGTGGGGCAAATTCTTTATTAGAAAGGACTTGGAGTGAGGCTTTCACCGATAATGCAAGAAAGCTGCTTGCATTTTCCTTCCTTGATCTAATTCTTGCAGACTGTTACTAAGGTTTTTAGGTTCAGAGAGAAATCTGCCATTTCCATTTATAAATCTGGACTATATTGAAGCAGACTTACAGGATAGTTATCTGAAGAACCCCAGCATCTTTGGTTGACTGGCTATTTCAGACCCACTTTTATGGTCCAAGAAATTCATGCTAATAACGAGGAGCCTCAAGAGCAGGAATGCCATCTCGTCATCTTTGTTCTAAAATGGGGGAAGAAAAATAGAACATATAAGCAGCGTGCAAGTTTTGTACTTGTCTGTGTGTGTATGAAGAAGTTTTTGTAGTCCTAGAATAGATAGGAGGAACACAGAGCAAGACTGAGGCATGATGTTACCTTCATATTCAAAATTTGCCATCGTTCACTTTCCAAAACCCATTTCCTATTTCTGTCCCTTAATGTTGGTATCACTGACTTAAAAGCAACCGAAAAAAGTTAGTGTGTAGGCACCTTTTTTTGTATTGCAATAAATCCATTCCCTTGGATGAAAGAAAGGAGAAGTTCTTAAGTTGTCTTAGTGGTAATTTAAACATGAATTGGAAAAACGTCTGCCTTGCTTGAGGAAATGTAAACTCTGAATTTATGAGGAAGGTGAAACAGCTCTTCTGAGCCACCTTTTAGGTCTAATCTTTAGGTGGTTGTTACTTGTGATATACCAGCATACAGATTATGTAGCACAAATGGATTTGTTCTCAGATCAAATCTAACCTGAAATGCCAAAAATTTCACTGGGGATTCTCTTTTCCATACTCGGATGTTATCAACAACATTATTTTCTGTTGAAAAATCAGGAGGGTGAAAGAGGCTAGAGTAAGTTAGTTCAAGTTACGCAATGTAATTAAGCGATCTTGGGGAGTGTTATCCCAGCACAGTGCCCTTATACAGTTAACCTGTGGTCTTTGTTCTTGTGTAGGAAGAAGAATGTAACTACTTAGTGTTGTCACAGTCTTCAAGGCACTTCTTGTGATGCAGGTAGAGCCTTGACGAGCAGGGAAAGGAGAACAAACTTCAATATTGATTTTCTTTATAATTTTATTTCCCAATGGTAAGTGTAATATCATGCCTTGGAAACTCTTTGAACACTATAGTAAGCAAAGAGGGTGCAGCTTTTTCTGAAACTTCCCAATAAAAAAAAAACAAACCAAACCACTTGGGAATGTGTATTTGGAACATCCCAGTCATTTGAAGTTTAAAGTATGTGACCATAATAAAAATTGGATGGCTATAACTTAGTAACCTAAATAATTAACTGATCTTTCTCAGGCAATCTTTGCAATTCCAGGGAGTTTGTGTTGATTTTAGTGCAAATTGCCCAGTGTTCAGCATTTGGGAAAGTTTAGGTGCTTCATCCAGCAAGACAGGTGTCTTTGGGTGTACAAATTGGATGCTTTCCTATTCCAGGAAGCAACTGATGCTAAGATATGAAAGTTTTAGGAAAACACAATTATCAACTTCAGTTTGAAAAATACAGTCTTGGGATGGAAGGAAGCAACAAGTGGTGCAGTGTCTGTGAAAATAAAAAGCATTAGAAATGATGGAATTACATATGAAATGTATATGGGAAAAATATCTGTAAGCAAAAAATAAATTATTGTGGAGTATTTGATGTTTAAGAAATTAATTGCTGCTTTGTAATGTTAAAAAGATTTACTAATAGTTCTGTGTCAGGCAGACAGTACTCACAAGTCTTTGGCATCCAAACCAGATTGTGTGTGTATCAGATGGATCCCACAACTGGATGTGTGCACTGACCTCTATTTCTAGCTTTTTAAAGAAAAACTTTGTAGCAGCAGTTTATAAATGTGTAAAGCAACCTGAGACAGAAGAAAGCCTGTTCATGTCACAGCTGCTGCACAGTTCACAATTGGTACCTTTATCTGCAGCCTCTCTTAATGGGCAAATCTAGCACATCAAATGACACTCATTTTTTTCTAATTTTAAGGAGTTTCCATTACCCTTTGGCCTCTGCTTGCTGTGTAAGCAGCCTCTATGCTAAGAGGAGTTTTCCTTGAATTCAGCTTAGCAACTGTGCTGTACCTTGATTATTTTTCCCTATTTTCTATAACCAGTAGCATAGTGTCGAGCTCGTTCCCCATTGTATTTGTTGCTATGGGGAGGAATTGGTGAGGCAAGACATGCATGGGAGGAGGGAGAAAGAGTTGTGGGATCTTCTATGTGACAGCTCCCACCCCCTCTTTGAAATCATCTGCTTCCAGTTGTGGGATTTCTGTATAGATTACTTTTTTCTGTTTTTTGTAGGCCTAGTTTTCTTTGATCTTGTTAGTTCCCTACAAGTCTCCCCGAGACATTCTGCAGTCATTATCACCTTTTTGGGTGGAGTTTATTTTTTTGTTTGTATTTTTTTTTAATAACTTTTTAACATTGGTGCATATATGCTTGAGATAGAGCTCATGTAATTTTCCAATCGTATTGATTGTATGTGATTGTGCCCTGCAGAGGTATATTTAACAAAAAAAATAAAAAGGGTAGTCTAGGTAATAAAGGAGACCATGAGATTGTTGAGTCAGGTTATGAACTATTTCTTTAATATATTTAGGATCCTGGATAAATTAAATTCCCTGTCTGCTGTTATAAATTAATGCTAAACAAAATGTCATGAATTCCCTCTTTCTGTTTGAACTGGTCCTTTCCTTGCTTTTCTTCTTCTGCTGTTTTCTTCCTTTCCTGCTTCTCTTCCCCATCAAAAAAAGTTATTGAGTTTTTATGGGAATGGCTGACTCTGGGTTGATATTGTGAATATTTGTTGGTTTTAACTATCGAGACATTTTTAATAGTAGTAGAGATTAAGTAGAATGAATGAGAATTTCATAAACTGAATTCTTTGCGAGTTTGGGAGAATGTTGAAGTGTCTTGTATATACGGGCCTGGTCACACAGGAGACACCCAGAGGCAGACAAGGCATTGATACGTCTTTCCTTGAAAGATTAGATGGTTTACTACCTTTTGGAAAAACTGAGATGACAAAACGAGTAGAAGAAAGAGTTCAGTATATCCAACTTCTTGTCTTTACTCCTGCAATATGCTTTTTAAACTTGAAAGAAAAGCCTTATAGATATGCTGAAGTGGGACAGAGTAGGTTGAAGGAGGCAAAAGGCAAGAGGATCCAGAGATCTGAAAGTCAGTATTTGTCTCCCTTATTTCTTTTTTAGAACTATAGAGCCAACAGTGTCACTTTTATATTAAAGAACAAGGAAGTGGAGACCTATTGTCTGTGCGTGGTGGTTATATAGAAAAAGCCATATGTTGAAATGCTGTTTTTTCTTTCCTCTTCACTTTGGTTTTCTCCCTCTTAAAGCTGACTCAACCTCACCTTGCTTCCACATAGTGTCGAAGGGTCCTTTGAGTTGCAGATTCAACAAAAATAATGGGTGGAAAGGTGGTGATTCACTATTTGACTTGTAAATAGATGGAAGTGTCTACAAAGTCTTATCTGCTTCTCTGTCAGCATTTATATTAAATGATAAATTAATGGAGAACACTTTGAACTATCTCTCATTGTCTGTCTGTTTGGGGTGAATGTGCATTCTTCTAAATTGTGTGAGGTGTAAGACTGACTGTGTAAGACTTTCTCCAGGCCAAGGTGTGTTTGTTCTCTGCCAGACTGAAGCATAAGAGATGCCAAATAGCAGAGAAGCCACCTGCCTCTGGAAGTCTGGTCTGTTCTCTTCAGACTCTGACTGTAAACAAAAGTGGCTTCTTAGTGTGTTTGCCAGAGGTGAACAAGAAAGGATACTCAATCAGTTTTGCAGATTGCTCAGAGAGTCTATATATTAAAAAACAAAATTAAAACAAACCCTTCAGAGTGAGGAGCAAGTAGTGTGCCTTTAATATTGAGCCTGCGTTGGAACTTGCTTTAAAGTGAAAATAAGGTTTGCTTCACGATCTGCTATATGGTTTTTAATCTTTCACTCCTTTTTGTGGGCTTTAACAAGTCATCAGCTGGCTATAAATCTGAGACTGGCTGAACGTAGTCTGATGTGGAATAAACTGCAGCTTTGCTAAAGAAGTGTTCCTTCTATTCCAGGGCAAGCAGAGCCTTCTGCCCTCGGAGTTAATGCATAATGTTTATTACTTCTACCTTTGATTTGGAGAGTCCAGGATGCTCATGTACTCCCTTAGGAAGGAGGGGGTGGGGATGGGGGAAGGCAAGCTGTATTTCTGCAAGTGGTTGGTTTTTACAGAAGATCTGAAATACTGTGGAGAGTCAGATTCCTTTGGAAGGGAGCAGTGTCTGCTCTGCATCAGGAGAGCTTTGGGGAAACTTGGAGGTTTTTGTATATGGAAAAGAAGGGAGATGGGGTTTGACTGGGTGGCAGCTGCTGAAAAATTTTTTTCCCCTTGGGTATGGATAGCAGGATAGAAGGAAGCTGGAAAAG